AGTTGTTTTTTTTTTTTTTTTTTTTTTTTTTTCCTGATATTCATTAATGGATTCATTGATCTTCTCTATAATGATTTGGCTGCAGATTCTTAATTTAGATGTTTGGAAAATTAGTCATTGATTTCTAGTGTCATTCTCTTTAACAATTTAGCTGGATTAAAGGAACAAAAGCTATACTTAAGGAATGGTGTGAAGAGGAATTACTATTTATTCCTGGTTATTATCTTTTGATGCTTTTACTTGTTGTTCATTGACAAGGGAATTGAATCATAGTTTCCCATTCAGGACACTTTTGATAGTATTCTCAATGGCTCAGTACGTTTTGGTTTAGTCTGGACCGGTTCGGTCTGGTCTTATCTGATTTGGTTCAGTCTAGTTTTGGTCTGGTCTGGTTATGCAAAAAACTGATGTAGAATTTGTACATCATTTTACATCAGTTGTGGGAAGAACCGATGTAAAATGATGTACAAATTTACATCGGTTTTTAAACCGATGTAAAATGGATTGCATTTACTAAGTCACTCCATTCTACATCGGTTTTAGAACCGATGTAAATAGTGTTAAAGAACCAATGTAAATAACGTGTCTTGTAGTAGTGCTAACACACCCAAAGCAAACATATATCTCATCCATTCATGTCCCACAAAACATCAAGAATGCACATGAATACACCTCAACATACATCATATGCAAACATATGGACCAATGTATCGTCATGCATTCACCTACGGAGATCTCCTAACAACATGAGCAGTTTAAGTGATTTCCACCCTACTGAACCAACCTAATCATTTTCACGTCTGAAGCATCGATTCGATCACAATAAAATGGGATACTAATCCCTCCTCTAGTTTCTTGGGTCTCATCACTTACATTAGGAAAGTCCGATTCCAAACCACACAACCTTTTTAGGTACTTGGTTAAGGATTGTAACCCTCGATCTTCTACCTTACACAAACACTAACTAAGGACTTGGAAGAGACTCAACACACCTCAAAACTTACTTTAAGAGACACACCTACTCAATGAGGGTTTTCTAAATAGTGACCTACCTAAGCACCACTCCAAGATACCATATGTGAGATCTTTAGTTTTCAAAATAATTTTCTCTCCTCAAATTCTAAGTTAGCCATCATGCTTTAATGCCACACCGCATTTTCAACATCTACACCTCACCATACATCTACTATATATACATCACATACAATCAATGCATATATAGATCAATAACATCAATCATGTATAACATACTAATGCTTAACACCTCGACCAAGAATAGTATACAAATGCTTAACAATTTATACAATAATATCATATTAATGTTCCACAATTCATTCAACATAGCATATCAATCATATAGAGCATACCAATGTTCATCACTATTTCAAGTACACAAAGATAACATACCAATGCTCATTATCATTTCAAGTACACAAAGATAACATATAAATGCTAATTATCATTTTAAGTACACAAAGATAACATACCAATTCTCATTATCATTTCAAGTATACAAAGATAGCATACCAAAGCTTATTATCATCATCCTATATCCCACAACATGCAATAGACACAAGTATTCTATTCATGTTCACCAAATTCACCCATCATACAACATGTATCAACATACAACTTATCAAAATCACTTATCCCACATCGAGAACCTTCACATAAAATGATGCCTAGGGAGTTCTATTACTCCTATCATGCTCATCCTCATCTCACATGAAAGACAAGAAGATTTTCTATAACTTTCATTAAGAACTCAGGTCCTAATTCCCTCATCTACCATGTTAAAAATTGTAAAAATTGCAATAGTTTGCCTAAATATTGACATCTTGACCTTTACTCACTAAAAAGGTCATAACTGGAGTTATAGACCTCATTTTTAGGTGATTTCAATGCCATTAGAAAGCTAACATCCAAGGCTATAACTTTTGTGAAGATATCAAGACCAAATTCAGTCATTTACCATCAACGCTGCAACAATCAATTCAGTGCTCTAGTGTTGGATTTCTACCAGCTTCATTTTCTCCCAGGATTGCAGCGTTCAACTTAGCGCTACAGTGTTGGATCTCTACCACCTTGTTTTCTCTCACAGTGGTAGCACTCCACTAGTGCTGCAACTATGAGTGCAGAATTTTCTACACTTTCATGGCTTTCCTTCTTCGTTCCTCACTTACATTTCACCAATTTTCTTCCTAAACATGATTTACACTCATAATCTCTACTAGATTTGTTAAGGCAACCCATAAACCATAGAAATTTTAACATGTATGCATCAAAACCTCAACGAGATCATCAAGAACATCAAGATTTTGGTTTCCACATGCAAACAACTTCAAATCCATCCCCAACGCTACAAATTTCAAAAATCATATTGATTTTAAGTTCTTAATTCAATCAACAACCCAACAAATCATCAAAATCAAAGATTTCTAGCTTCCCTTACCTTGATTCTAAGCTCCCCGAGGAAAAAGAAGAGAAGAACGGAGAACTCCAAAGTAGAAGAGGAGAAGGAGAAGACAATCTTGCACTTGAAGTTCCCCATCCCTGGAACTCGGATTTTCTCACCCCTTCTAGTGATCAACTGTGAAAATGAAAGGGAGAAGAAAAAGGAAAAGAAAGAAACAACTCTCTTTCTAAGTCATATCTTACAAAATTAGTATTAAATATAAGTTTAAATTTATTTGTAACACTTTTTTTTTAATTCTTTTAAAAAATATAAATATTTATTAATATTTACAGATATTTATAAAATTTGTTTACTGAAATCTTTGACAATTTTAATTCTTAAAACGAAAATAAGATAGTGGACAATAATACTGGGTCGCAATGGATTACAAATAAATACATGTTGAATACTGGGCTTATTGTTGGGCCTTGAAGGTCCACTCGGTCAATCGTCATTCACGTAGGATTGTATTTTCGATCCATCGCGGAGAAGAAGAGAGTTAAGCGGAAAAGGAATGAAAAAGCCTCGACGCGTGAGCTTCACCGTCCTTATTCCTCAGATACCAATGCCATCTTCGCTTTGTTACTCGCATCACTCTCCAACAGAACCCACTTTGTTATGTACGTCAACAAATGCGTATTCAAACTTCGCCAACGAGGAAATCGCTTCCGAGTTCCGATTTTGAAACCGTCGAGGTTTGTCTCGCTGTTAGAGTCGCAAGACAAAGTTTCTGTTCTGGGCCTTAACCTATTTCAGAAGAGTCCAGACCCAAGTGAATATTGGGCCGGGCCAAAATTCCCGACAAAAGCCCTAACAAGTGAACGAGAAACCCTAATTTTTTGGCCACAGGAAGAACTGTGACTGACGTGTTCTCCCCACGAGTTCGTCAAGGCTTACTCTGCTCACCTCAGGCAAGATCACACTCCATTATCCCGTTTTTTTCGTCCAACATAAATAGTGTCCAACTTTGTTTATCAATTTAATGCGAAACCCTTTTCTTATTTTTATTTTTTTTGTGCTGTGCCCATTCTTTCTTATTCACTTTCGTTTTCATTCGCAAAGTGGGTTCTTGGGATAATGTTGATTTCACCCGTTGTTGTTTTATGAGTTTTTGTCATGCCCATGTGTGTGTGTTGATGGTTGTATGTTCAAAACGGCGTGTTCTGAATGGGTTTGTGTTGAAGTTTGTAGCTTCATCTACTTTGATTTGATTCTGTTTTACTTGCACTCTGGGTATCATGTGTGGGTTTTCTGGGTTGAGCCTGCTTGGAAATTAGCATTTGAGCAAATACACTGTTTGTATCACCTTTAAACTCATGTACTAATGCATTATATTTATAGTGAATATTAATTAAATAATACTAGCAAAAGAGGCCAATTAACTTTTATATAACCTGATCAAGCTAGTCAAGTAAGCTTTTGAAATGTTTTGCCTAATGTACTCTTAATGTATAAGGGTGGATTTGTTATAGCTTGTGATCAATTTTAATTTAGATTTTCTTACGTTTATTAATATTTTAAGTCAGTGCATTGCACATACTAAATGATTATTATATATAAATAAAATTTATAATAAATTATATATATGAATAAATAATACTAGATATTTCACTATGTAAATTATATAATTTAAAATTTATATAAATAAATATTTTTAACATATAAATTATATTTTATATTTGTGAAAAATAATTTATATTGTGACATAAAATTATTATTAATTATTAAATTTAATTTAGAAATATATCATAAATACAAATTGAAATAGACAAGTTAAAAAAAAACCTAACAACTCTCCCATGAAGTAAAATGCCTAAAAACGTCCAAATGACATTTTTTTTTATTTAATAAAGAGATATTATTCATTTCCAACGGGTATAGAGTTAAAGTAGTATTTTACTATTTCCAGTCATGACTCCATGCCTAGCCCTTGGTTAAGTATAAGTGTCAAACCATTTGAGTTATCTTTTGAGAATAAACTGACATTTTTAACGCTCTTATTATCATCATTTGAATTTCATTTAAAATCTTCATTTAATTTTGTAAAGCCTCAAGATTGATAAAAAGAGTTGTTGTAACAGTTATTAAAAGGTCTTTTCATGTTAGTAAAACTAGTATTTTAATATGTGCATTGCATATGCTAAATATTTATTATATTTATATTAAATTTATATAAATTATACATATAAATGAATGTTTTAATTTAAAATTCATATTTATATAAATAAATTTTTTTAACATATAAACTATATTATATATTTATGAAAATAATTTATATCATGGCAAGATTATTTTAAATTATTGATAATTTATTTTAATATTATTAAATTTAATTTAGAAAAATATAATAAATACATAATAAAATAGATAAGAACTTCGAAAAAAAAATCCTTAAAAATCCTCCCTAAAAACACTTCCCTTACAAAGAAATTTCTAAAAATGTTTTCGCTCAACATATATATTCCTATTTAATGTATAGGAGTGGATTAATTAACAATTCAATTTGCAAAGGTGATAAGCTACGGCGTCGGTTAAACCTATACCTGCTGTTATATTTTGTTCATTCCTATTATTTTATTATTATTATTATTATTATTATTATTATTATTATTATCTTAGGCTCATTTTATTATTAACATTAATTTTGGATTCTCTATTCCTTTAAGATGTTTGATACAATGTCTATTGCAATTACCATTAGCTTTTCTTTCATCTATTTCGAAAATGCTGTTAGGGGTCTGACTATGTTATATTAGTTTCTAGGATTCTTTTGTTTCAAGAAAGAAACTAGGTTTATAAGTTGTATGTTGTATGATTCCGCAATATTGCATGCTCGTTAGACTAGGAAAACTGACTGGGTATGCCATTTAGCTCTTTGTACGAGTTATCGAGGTCTTATTTTATCTCCTGTTATGTGTGTTTTATAAATGTTTAAGAAATACAATCTAGGTTTTCATCTCTTCAAAGTAGAAAGCTATCAACCAAACAGAAGAATGGAAAAAATTATTTAGTATGTTTTTACTTTTCTCATTCACCGGTTATTACAGAGGAGAAAATGCTACACAGTGTGATTTATATACAATTGATCTTTGATGTGTTTAATTGAACTGGAAGCTATTTTCAATTTTGTCGCAGCTATTGTTAGTTTGTTGCTTTTTCATCGATTTTATGACACTTTTGGCTTTCTATATGTTTACAGAACATTGAAAAGAGATGGGAGTACGAAATGCTTCTGAGGACTTGTCATCAGAAATGGAGGTAGATGCCTTTAGACGGCTCTTTCCACTTCGTTTTTTTGAGCGTCATCTTGCTGAATCTATACGCCCTGATGGTAGACCACTTGGAAAAGCTAGAGAAACAAGCATTTTTCTTGGTTAGTTACTTTAATCTGTTTTATTAACATTTTGCAAAATATGTAATTTACACTTGGAACTAAGGTTGTTAACTAACTTGACTAGGTGCTGTTGCCTCTGCTAACGGGTCGGCTCTTGTGAAGATTGGATCAACTGTTAGTCATTCTACCTTTGTCGATTTTGTTAAATGTTGACGTGAATTTGGGTTATTGATTTTATTATGCGATGCATTTAACCATTTCCTAATTGATCTGTGTACAGACTATGTTGACTGCTATTAAAATGGAAGTTATGACTCCCTCCTTGGAGTCACCAGATGAGGGCTGTCTAGGTTTGCTATAGCTGGCTGTGCCACTCGTGTTATTTATTTAGTGTCCTGCTCACATATGCCATAAGATTAACCTGTTAATATCTGTTATTTCAGCTATTGATTTCCACATGCCTCCAATTTGTTCTCCAATTGTTAGGCCCGGCAGGCCTGCTGAAGCATCACCAGTGGTGTCAAAACAGTTGTCTGACACCATTTTAAGGTATGTTAAAATTTTTGTTGTCATTTTGTTATGTTTAATTATTTCAGAAGATTCAAGAAACTAATTTTATCGAAGTCACTCCACCTACCTCTTATTTACCACAAAATAAAAGAAAGGAAGCAAAAGAAAAGAAGAAAATAAAAAGGGATTGTTATACATCTGTGCATAATTTGTTTCTTTGATATATTCTAACTGTATGTATAGCCATACAATTATTGATGTTAATTATGATCATTAGAGAATATGAACGTTTGGGCTAAATTATGCTTTTTTTACCAGATTGGACAAATGAAAAGAAAGGAAGGGAAAACTTTTCTTTTGAAGTAAATATTCTCGTAAAAGTTTCTCTGGAATGATATGAATAAAATGATAGATATTCCCATGAAACATTCCACTTAGATATTCAAATATGCACCCAAAAACATAGATCCTCTGATCTATCTATTTATTATATTATGAATGGAAAAATGAGAAAGATTACAAGAAAAGCTGAAGAGCTTAGAGGCCTAAGCCATCACATCAAGCTAGAGTGCAATCAGGAAAATACAATAAAATATTTAAGAAACAAAAGAGGCTTTCTAAATAAGCTATTCTAACACTCCCCCTCAAGCTGGTGCATATAGATTATATGCACCGAGCTTGGAACATGAAAATTGGATTCGAGGCCCCCTTAATGACTTAGTCATAACATCTGCAAGTTGTTCACTAGAATTGACAAATTCAGTAATGATTTCCTTGGACAGCAACTTCTCCTTCACAAAATGATAGTCAACCTCTATGTGCTTGGTTCTCTCGTGAAATACTGGATTGGAAGCAATTTGAAGAACGGTTGATTAACACAATACAATCTCATTGGATGATCCTCACAAAACCTTAACTCTCGAATGAGTTGCTTAATCCATACAAATTCACAAGTAATCAAGGCCATAGCTCGATATTCAACTTCAACACTAGATCGAGCAACAACATTTTGTTTCTTACTCTTCCAAGAAATGAGATTTCCACCAAGGAATACACAATATCCAGTAGTAGAACGTCTATCTATAGGACATCTGGGCATCACAGTATCCAGAAATTCTACTGTCTCCTTTGTCTTCATACAATAATCCTTGTCCTGGAGCCTTTTTGATATATCTAAGAATATGCAGAACAACATTCCAATAATCGATGAGGGGCTTGCATGAACTGAGAGATTAGGTCTTGTGATTGTGAGATAAATGAGTTTCCCAACCAATCTCCTGTACCTTTCTGGATCTGTGAACGATTCACCTTGATTAGTCATTAACTTTTGGTTATGATCCATAGGACTATCAATGGGTCTACAATCAATCATGCCTGTTTCCTCTAAAATGTCCAAAGCATACTTCCTTTGAGAGATCAAATGCCTTCCTTTGATTGGGCAACCTCAATACCAAGAAAATATTTTAGATGTCCCAAATTCTTGGTCTGAAAATGGATAAACAAATGTTTCTTCAATTGAGAGATTGTAGATACATCATTTCTTGTAATCACTATGTCATCCACATAAACAATCAAATAAACACATCTCCCAGGAGAAGTATGACAATAGAAAACTGAGTGGTCTGCTTCACTTCTTTTAAGCCCAAAGTCTTGCACAACATGACTAAATTTTCCAAACCAAGCTTGAGGAGATTGTTTGAGGCCATAAAGAGATCTTCGCAATTTACAAACTAAACCAGACGCCCCCTGAACAACAAATCCAGGAGGTTGCTCCATGTAAATTTCCTCCTCTAACTCACCATGAAGAAAGGAATTTTTAATGTCTAATTGGTGGAGAGGCCAATGACGAATAGCTGCCATAGCAAGAAAGAGACGAACAGTAGGAAGCTTGGTCACAGGAGAGAAAGTGTCACGATAGTCGAGGCCATAAATCTGAGTATACCCCTTTCCCACCAATCGGGTTTTGAGTCGATCAACTGTACCATCAGGGACAACTTTAATAGCATAGACCCATTTGTATCCAACTGGTCGTTTCCCAGGAGGAAGTGGAATTAGCTCCCATGTACCATTATGCTCAAGAGCTTGCATTTCAGCAATCATGGCTTGTCTCCATCCAGGATGACCAAGAGCCTCATGAACATTTTTAGGAATGGTTAGAGGAGATATAGAAGAGACAAAAGAGAAATACAAGGGAGATAACCGATGATAACTCAAAAAATTATAAATAGGATGAGGGTTTCGAGTAGACTAAATACCTTTTCGAAGAGCAGTAGGCCATCCTGAGTTATCCTCACTAGGATCTGCAGTAGGGACATTTGATGGTGAAGGACATGAAACCAATGACTCTTCAGGTAATGTTGGATCAATTTGTCTTGTTCGACGTTGATATGTGACAAGAGGAGGTGGAGGAGTTTGAATAGGAGTAGTTGCGGGAATAATAGACTGAGTAACCTCTTGGTTATGAAGTGAAATTTGAGGTGGAATGGAAACATGAGAACAAACTGGTAGCACCTGTTGTATTGAAAGATAATCATGAGTGGTGCATGAGAAAAAAGGAGTTTGTTCAAAGAAGGTAACATCTGCAGACATGTAGAATTTTCTGGTCTTTGGGGAGTAACACCTGTACCCTTTCTGAAGACGGGAATGGCCTACGAAAACACACTTAATAGCTCTAGCAGATAGTTTTTCCAAACCAGGAGAGACATTATGGACAAAACATGTACACCCAAAGACTCGAGGTGAGACATGAAACAAGGGTTCCTTTGGATAAATAATGGAGTAAGGGATTTTATTTTCAAGGGAAGAAGAGGGCATTTTGTTTATTAAAAAACAAGAAGTGAGGATTGCATCACCCCAGTGATGTACAGGAACATTTGCATTGAGCATTATGGTGCATGCAGTCTCCACAAGGTGCCTATTTTTTCTTTTTGCCATTCCATTTTGCTGGGGTGTATGTGGACATGTAGACTGATGTAAGATACCATGTGAGGATAAGAAAGAAGATAATTCATAAGAGAAATATTCTTTTGCATTGTCATGTCTAAAAATTTTAATTATTCTCCTAAATTGGTTTTTGATCTCATTGAAGAAAGACATAAAAATAGACAAAAGTAAGAACGATCTTTCATTAAATATACCCAAGTACATCGAGAAAATTCATCAACAAATGTTACAAAATATCTGAAACCAAAAGATGTTACATGGCTTGGACCCCAAATATCAAAATGAATGGTGGTGAAAATCGAGTTACATCTTGTATCAGTTTGCTTGGGGAAAGACGGCCTAACATGTTTGCCTAATTGGCATGATTCACAACCTAATTCTTCTAAATTTTTAAGACTAGGAACCAGAAGTTTCAACTTGGATAGACTTGGGTGACCCAAACGATCATGCAAAAGCGTGGGTGACAGAACAACAACACAAGATACAGGTGGTTGCGTTTCAAAATAGTAGAGACCACTAGATTCATGTCCTGCGCCAATCTTCCGACCCGTACCACGTTCCTGAATAACAAAAGATTCAACATTAAAGGTTACTGAACAATTTAAAGATTTAGTTAACTTACTTAAAGAGATTAAGTTGAAAGGACAATTAGGAATAAACAAAACAGAGTTCAGATTTAATGAGGGAGTCAGAGAAACTTGACCAATTCCTTTGGGAGCAATTCTAGATCCATCTGCTAAGGTAATAAGGTGAGGTGATTTAAGTGGGGACATGGAAGAAAACATAGAATTATTACCGGTTATGTGATCAGAGGCTCCTAAATCAATGATCCATGGACTTTGATTTGCAGTTGAATGAGAAACACAAGTTGTAGAAACAGTAGCGGTAGAGAAAGATTGAGCTCGATTCATAGACTTCCATTGAAGATATTCTTGATAGTCATCTTCAGGGATCTTCATATTAGATTTTCCTAATTTCTCAGACTTGGATAGATTTGCTATCTTCTTTGGAAAACCATGAAGAGAATAGCAATTCTCTTGGGTATGACCCATCCTCTTACAGTATGAACATTGAGGACAATTATTTCTACCTCCTCTTCCTCCTCGATTTCCACGACCACCTCTACCCCGACTAGAAACCATTGCAAAAGCTTCAACAGTTCCACCATAGTTTTCATTCTTCTCTTCTGTAGGGACATGAAGAAGTCTAACTATTAGGCTGTCCATTGAAGGAATCTCGTGGCCAGTCAGAATCTGGTCACGAACATGATTGAAATCTGGGTGCAATGTTCTCAGGATCAGCACCATATATAGCCTATCAAGTTTCTTATTTATTCCATCTAATGAATCATCTGTTAGGAACATTTTTAGTTCTTCTACAGCAGCTTGGGCTTCGGCAATGTGAGACGTCATTTCATAATTAATTTGTTTCAAGGATGCTATTTTTTTGAGTAGCATCGTACAACCGCTGAATATCATTTGCATAAATATTGAGTCTTTTTCCAAAAAGAACAGTAAGTTTTGAAGTCTCTAAGTGTCCCCAAAATATTTGGCTCAACCGACCGCCACAACACTGCAAATAGTTGAAAATCAAGCTTCTTCCATTTAGCCCGACTTTCATCTGAACCCTGTGTGTCTTCCATTTCTAAGTGATCGTGGTACCCTTGACGAAGGAACCATAGTTCCACAAAGGCAGCCCATGATAAATAATTTTTTCATTGAGTTTCTCTGTGGTTATGGTCGGAGTGCCAGAAATAGGCAAAATAGGACCTAGAGATGCCATAAGAAAATGGGTCGTGCAACAGGGATTAGAGAGAGAAGAGCAACAGAAGGGAAACGCAGACCCACACCTTAAATGGTGGTCAAATCACAAAATTGAGTCCAAAAATAGGCTCAAGAGGCTCCGATGAACAAGACGGTGGCGGAGTGAGGAATTTTCGACGAACAGACAGCAGCGCGTGAACAATATGCAGTATGTGCTTGACAAAGCCTGAGATGACGGGGTTAGGTCACGCTTGACGAGGTGCACCAAACCCTAGGTTCGTCGGAGTAATAGGTTGCCGGTGGACGGCAGCAAACGGCGGTGGGTGACGGCGGACGGCAGAGCGGGATCGACCTTGCTCTGATACTAACTTAGATATTCAAATATGCACCCAAAAACACAGATCCTCTGATCTGTCTATTTCTTATATTATGAATGGAAAAATGAGAAAGATTACAAGAAAAGCTGAAGAGCCTAGAGCCCTAAGCCATCACATCAAGCTAGAGTGCAATCAGGAAAATACAATAAAATATTTAAGAAACAAAAGAGGCTTTCTAAATAAGCTATTCTAACAATTCCAATGAAAAAGATGCCTTTACCCTTCCTTTCCCTCAAGCCCCTCCATCCAAACATAAATGTCTATGTCAACCTTCATCGTGATCAATAACCTGGATTACTTTTTTGACCTGTCAATTTGGGTTCAATTTGAAATTAACCTATCTTTCTTTTTTAACCTTTACTATTTTCTGCAGTTCTAGAATGATTGATTTGAAAGAATTGTCCTTGGTCAGTGGAAAAGCAGCTTGGATGGCTTACCTGGTAAGCTTTTATAGACTGAAATTTCCAGATTTATCATATCAACCATAGAAAGAATGCATCGTGCACCAAATTTGGTGTGGAGTGCTGCACTGTCTTTGCTTTCTCTGATTGTGTAGTTGTCAATCTATTGAATAACAAAATGATGCCTTCTTTATCATGCAGGATGTCTATTGTTTGGATGCTGATGGTGCTCTTTTTGATGCTGCTTTACTTTCTGCAGTTGCTGCCTTATCTCATCGTAAGTAATGCAATATGTCCTACATTTGAAACGTGTGCACGAGGAAATCTATATTTATATTTATATCGATATACAAATGAAGGGAATCCGGTTTAAATGATTTAGTTGTATGATTTATACATATCATTAATAAAATAAGTATATTAGTTAATAAGTGATTTATATATCCGTGCAGTGCCCAGGTCCTTAATCTAGTTTAGGAACAAAGACTAGAATAAACCAGCTGACAATATATCAACCAAGGGAATTAAATAGAATAGGCCTTTTACAATTATTATGTATATCCTTTAGTTCTGTTCTTTTACTCTGTCTGCTTATTTTTCGGAGGTTGTTATTTCTTGTTTTGTAGAATTGGCTAGGATTCTACTTATATGGAACTCTCAGTCATTCATAAAAACTTTTGGATCTTTTAATAGAAACAGAGACACTTCCTCAGCAAGAGCTTAGCTCTAGTGATTGATGTTTATTGGGTCATTACTCTAAACCTTGTATTCATCTTTCTGAATAAAATAGTTATTCTTTCTATACAATACGAGACAATAGTGGGTGGTCACTGGACCATTAGAGAGGAGGCTGTAGTCCTAAACCAACAGTCACTGGAAAATGTCTGGAGATGTGCTATCTCTGGTAAAGGTGAGTGGGTAGATAGATCAGTTGGAGAAGAGAAAGAGATAGAACATAGAAGGGTGTCGTATTTCTCACTGAATTGGAGGGGAGGTGGTTGGGCTTTTTTAATGTTATTTTGACTGAGGATTAGGTGTCCTTTGTACCCAAAAAAATCCCAAATATGACATTGATCGAAGCGTGAAAGAATTGGGTTTATGTAATCCATAACATTTTGCTGTTGTTATGGACTACTAAGCAATACCTGCAATGCAACAACAAAAATGCCACATGACATAATCTCTGTACAGCCAGCAGCCGCTCCACACCATGATGGCACTCTAACACCAGTATTGCATGCTATGCATAACTAAGCTTATGGGACAATCCTTGGTCACCTTTATAAATTTTTTTGGATGTTTTAGTACTAAGGACTCTTCCTCTGTAGGAACATAGCTCTTTGGATTGATGCATAAAGATTTTCTGTGTCATTACTGTAAATGTCATTTATATAAAATATCAGAATCATTCAGAAGATAGACTTTTCTTTTGCTTAAAGAGAAATTATGTGTTGCTGTTGATGTTCTTAATGTGATGCTTTTCAACACTGTTATGGTATTATCATATTGGTTTTCTCTTACATGAATGAATTTCTGTGTTGGCAGTGCAAATTCCTGCTGTTGCCATGAATGATGATGGCAAAATAGTACTTGTGTCTGATGAGGATGGACAAAAGCGGGCACAGGAGCCCGTCAATAAGGAGAAGAGGAAGCTTACATTGAAAAGCATTCCATTCTCTTTAACATGCATTCTTTACAAGAATTACATCTTGGCAGATCCTACTGCAGAAGAAGAATCCATCATGGAAACCCATGTAACAATAGTTTTGGATACATCCGGTCAACTAATATCTCTGTACAAGCCTGGTGGTCCAGTTCTTGCCTATACTTCTGCTATCCAGGTTAGTTTGCCCATTGCAACGAACTAATGAAGTGAACCATATGACAGTTATTATAGCATTAAAGTTAATGCTTTAGTGAACAATTTTGGAAAAATTACTGTAAATACTTTCAAAATTTGAAGTCAGCACTTCAAACTTAAAAAGAATATAAGATATCCGAGGTCCTGAGACCTTCATGTGCCCCAAATGATATGAAAGGCAGGACAACATAAGGCATGCTTCTGTCTGCTTGGAGTTCAAATTTATTTATTAAAATCATTTTTCAATTTTTAATTGCACAAGAGTTTTCTGATTGAATCTTCTCTTAACTGTACATTCATTTTAGAGGTTTATTTCGACTTTTAAATTTGAAGGGTGAAATTATGACTTAGTAAAGTAGGTTGATAGTGGAAATTTAATTACTGTACATTAAAGTGCCAAAAACACAACTTTAGTATTGTGCTGATATGAATCATTGACTGAAGGGCGTGAAATAATAGTACGTATATGATATGATGGATGAGATTATGTGTAGTTATAGCGATACTTGTGGTTGCAGGATTGTGTTGCGATAACCCGACAAAGAGTGAAGGAACTGAAGAGCTTCTTGGACAATGAAAATTCTGCTATGGAGGTTTGAGTAGAATTATGGTGTCATCTTTTTGTTCTGAATGGTTATTAAAATTATATTTGTACATCCTGGATCACAGGTATTGGGTCATTTCATTATAAAAAAGAAATGTTTTCACGAATTTTATATCATCTATTGGACATTATGTTATTCCGGCATGCGATTTTCACATATTTGGTTGATGGTTTTGGCGATAAAATTGTGTTAGAAAACCGAATCAAATTTTCAAAATTGTAAAAAATAGAAAAATCATATATATATATATATATATATATAAAAGGATGTTAGTATAATTTTATTTTAAATAAGTGTGTACATATATTAGTTAGTGTAACATAGTATAATTAATGTTTTGAAACATTGAAGGGGTTAGTGTTAGTATAAAAAAAATTGCAATATTATGCGTAATTTAAAAAAGGCTCAAAGATGATCAATTTAATTTTCTTTCTTAAAATAAATTATAATTTAAAATTTGATGTTATTGATGGAAATATAATTACTTGATTAATCTAAGGGTTATATTTTAACCTTCTCACTCTCTCATAATAAATTCTTTTCACTTGATATGTTCCCTATATATATATATATATATATAAAAGTAACCATTCGTTAGAAATAATAATTACTCACTTTTTTAAACACTAATTTACTCTAAAAGTAATTTATTATTACTCTACTCAATAACTTACTGTATACATGAAATTCAATAATGTAATTATTGAATTGAAAGTTTTTATGAATAGATCAAATTTGTTAAATTTGAAAACTATTTGATATTTTTTTATATTAATTTAATTTAGTGTATAATATGTTTTTATGAATATATGTCATTTTGAATTAATGTAACAAAATATTAAATATTTTTTGAATTTTGTAAAAAATTGTAGATTGACTTTATGGAAATTTTTTAACTTAATGATTGAATTGTTATAATTTAATTCAAATAATGAGTGAAATAATTTAATAACTCTTTTAAGAGTTACTTTTGAAGAAATGGAATCTACCTACACTAAAGAGAATTTTTCTAACATTTTCTATCTCGCACGTATAATTAAATAAATATATCGATCATAATAAGAAAATATGGTAGATCATAATAAGAAAATATGGTATTGAAATAATTTCAAATAAAGGTAAAGATATCACATTTGAAAATTTTAAATAAAGTTAAAATAACACCTAATTGTTACAAACTTAAATAAGATGTTTTAAGGAAAGTAAATTATAGTTCTTAATTAGAAATTATGAAACATAATTCAAGATTCTTGGTATCGCAAGTATTAGAGCTATCTCTTCAACCAATTAGATTCTTCCAAAATGAAGGTCTCCTACAACCACATATAAAACATCCACAAGAAAAACAGGGAGAGAGCATATTTAACTCTAACTACTAGCATAAAATAAGGCCAATTAATCACACATAAACCTTATACAAAGCCAATAATTAAACTCTTCATCAATCCATACAATAATTTCAACTCAACTTATATCTCATTCCATCATGACATCAATCAGAATACAGTTCAAATATAAACAAAATGTTATGATCATACGTAGACTAGACTCTCATAAATTATATGCATGTATCATTAGTAAAAACTGAGTAGTCTAGAATACATGTTGGGTCAGGTTATCACAACACTCTCATTATAATGATTTACTACTAGGGTCTCACTGAGATAGTTAAGTCACACAAGATACACCTCATACATAATGGGTGAGACTAGAGCTTCCCAAACCAAACTATCTCCATGGACTAATCTCCAAGTTTTTACACAAAAGGGTCTTCCGTGTATTTTGCATCTTACATATCATAAAATCACAAATATGCATGATGCATAACATTCAAGACTCAATGCATTTACCATGCATAATCACTTATCACTTATAATTCATAGCACATAACGTTTTACTTCACAATTCATCACATATCGCTTTATCATTTATCATAATCACTTGTGTACATAGATTCTCTTGCACATACACACATAAGAACTAATTTCGGACATAGGGTCGCACCCGACGAGACACACCCTATGCCTAAAGCGTACGAGGCCACTAGCCTTTAGAAGGAATCACACTAGGCATGATCCTCCTTGTGTTTGGTGAGATACATCTAAAGGACCTCTAAAGCCCTCACATTCGGTGTGATTGCACTCACAGATGATGTCAATAATGTCGCAAGTAGTTTGGGCTTCCATGCCCGACAAGGTCAAGCCCAAGCCTGACGTGGTCGAGACCGCAAGCATTTTGTATTACCCATGTTTGGCAAGCCCAAGTTGCTGCTACCCGACATGATATCAATAGATAGGTTTTGTACATAATTTGCGATTTTTCAAATATAAGACTCCTATGATTTCTACGATTTTAATCCATTAAAGGGGTTCCTATAGTCTAATTAATCCACATTTTAGTCATATAATTTACAATTATTATAAATTCACTCCTAATCTAGGTTTTAGATACATCCTTAGGGTTCCCCCAAGAACCCAAAGGCATTCAATGATTCATGATCACATACAAATTTTATAATTCACACATCAATACTCATTTATAACATATCCAAAACATCTAATTACACAATAAATTGCACTAGGTTCAGGTTTAACCCTCACCCACATACACATGCACATAACCTAAGGATAAAGGTCAATCCTTCTACCCAATAACTATCCTACACCCTGGAGTGATGTTCTCACTCCCCCTTACCTTGATCGATGCTAACTCTAAGATTCTAATATTTGAGTTTCTCCCTAGATGCCTCTGGTTCATCCCCCTTTTTAGATCACAAATTTTGGACATATCGTATGTGAGATAAACCTAACACTACTAATGTATTTAAACAAAATCCAAACTCCCACCCGCATGCATAGCCCATTAGTAAAAAGCCCAATTAATTATCCTTGCATATTTGAATTTAAAAAGATAATTACTAGATATCATCTTATCAAATCACTCAAAATATTTTATTCCTCAATTAATTAATTAGAAAATCTTTTATTAATTTGTTTGGAAAAAAAATGGAAGGTTACACCTTTGGTAGGGAAGTTTAGTTTCTTGGGAATCTTAGATTGAGAATATTAGTTTTTCATGTTTGGTATTTATTTTATAAAAGAACATTCTTAGGAAATATTGTTTCTTAGGTATCACTTTTACCTTAGTTTTCACAAAGGCTGATGATATATATACCTTCTATCTTTTATAAATACACCTCTAATCTCTTTTTTTAAAAATAAAATTCCTACAATATCATTCTAACTAAATTTTTATTTTAAGTTTTATTTTTAAAATTATTTTTTATTCACCCACTTCTTTCATCATTCTTCTTTTTCTTTCTTTTTCTTCTTCTCATTCTCCTTTTTCATCACTCAATTCATTCTTTGATGATTTTATTCTTTTTTGTTTTTCATTCTTGATTTTTCTTCTTTTACAATCAACATAATTATATTTTATCTTTCTATCTTTTAAATTTTATTGTTCACTTTCTACTCTACTCTTTCTTGAATTCCAATTTTTTACTCAATCTTCATTATTCTTTATATTCAATACAAGGTACAAATTAATATATTAAATTACATTCTATATTTATAATTTTTTTTAACTTATTTAACATTATTTATGCACAACAGAAATATATAATTGGTTAAATTTTTGGCATTACTTACTTCGATCGTAGACGATGGTGGTGGATGACAGAGATAAAAAAAATAAGAAAAAGAAAAAAAGGTGTAAGAATAATATGGGCCAGTTCTTGCTATCGCAACCTACGTCGTTGTAGCCCAAAAGCGACAACTTTTTGCGGCAACTCGAAAAATTCTTGCAAACGGCACTTTCGAAAGGAACGGTAGAAGCAAGTAGTATTGTAGGCATGGATTGAGATCGAGGAAGACAAAAACTTCAGATCGGATCGAACAAGTTGAGAAAGAAGTGAAGATGGGAAAGGAAAGTAGCAGCAGCAACAGCAGCAACCCGGTTCAGGTGTTCCAGTGGCTGAACCGGATGGTCTCAGAACCTTATTATCTCTTCCATTTCTTAACTTTCTTCTCCTATTTAATCGTTCGCAGCTCCGCAACCCAAGTCCTAGCGCCTCATGTCACCCACCATCTCCTTCGTCGCGTAACACACACACACTCTCTCTCTCTCTCTCACTCGCTCGTGTCACTTTGCAGATTGCTTACTTTACTCGTTCCTTCTTTTGCAGGAAATACAAACGCTGCTGGTTTTCGCGTTGTTGGCTCTCGTCAAGGTGCCTGCTAATGAAATCAGATAGAATTTGTGCTAGATTCCAATGTTCGCATCTGAATTGAGTTAAATTGAATTCGATTTTCCGCGTTTGCATAAAAATTTAGGGCAAAACTTAGGTATAATTGTGCGGTTGGTGCTGTTATCCAATCACTTCTGGAGTTTTGCATTAAATGCATTTGCATAATACCAAGTTAAAACTCCAATTTTGATTGGGGAACAACTCCTGTAACTATGTTTTGTCCAAAAATTACAAGATGATCGTGTGAATAGTAATTGCTGTCACTTTGTTGTAGACTTATTAATATGTGTTGCGTAAACCACTGTAATATTTCTCTGGATTTTTTTTATATAAATAAATATAATGTAAATTGCGGGTTATGTAATTGAACTATTGGGAGTTATAAGGTGGGAAAGTGGTTTGAGGGAGGGACACTGGGCTTAAGTGATAAGGAGGAGTGGGTTTCGAATCCTTCTTTTAACATAACAATTAACTACTAACATTTGCTATAAATAAATAAATCAACTATTGGTCTTGTGCATGCCATAAAAAGGCTAATGGGAATTCCATGTGACTAGTGTGTTTTAATCTCCAATTATGCCATGAGTTACCTGAGAAAACCGGGTGTAATTGGGAAAGTTGGTTTAAATTAATGCAACTACAGTAAGGAAAAGTATTTATAGGAGAAGAAGATAGAAAGGAAAAGTGAAATAAACTTTTCAAAGCTAAAATTAGCATAGACATGAGTTAAAAATAAGTTTTTGGAAAAGTTAATATAAGAGAGCTTCTGTAAATTAACTTGTGTAAACTAATTTTTGATTATGTAAAAGCTTATTTAATTTTTTCTTCTCCTATAAGAGCTTCTAGAGAAGTTTATCCAAATAGAACCTTAAAAGTTTGCTTAATGAAAGGGGGTTTTGTGCATTTAATGAGAATGGAGTAAAGTTAAAGTGTTTTAGCTGCCATTTAGCCAAAGAGAATCTTTCTACATTCATGAATCAAAATATTCTAGTTTTGTCTTATGTGCTAGTGAGATTCTCTGTTATAATATCTTGTGTTGATTTGAGTGGATATATCCATCATCAACTGTTGTGTCACATACTTCTGTTTTCAACCTTGGACATATGTGTGCATTCACTGCATTGTATTCAATTCTATCATTTTTCTGTTTTAGGGAGTAAAAGAAGAGACATGGGAAGCCTTTATAGCTGATGCACTTTTCCTTGCCAAGGTGATCGTCATTGATGTGTTTGCAAAACTCTTACAGCTTCCTTCTTTCATTCCTACATCATTTCCCCCTTCCCCCTTTTTTCATTATTAGTAAGATACGGTTTTGACGTTTTTATTTATAATTTGAACTTGAATTTGTCATATACCATAATATTATATCTTTAGTCTAATTAGATGTGTATTGAACTGTTAATCATGCATTATCATGATTTTCCTGTTCTTCATTTATTATTAGCAATTGCACAGTTTTGGTTGTGAACAAAAGTAATGCACATGTTTCATGTGTTAAATCGATTTCTAGCTGCAAACTACATGTGGTTTCATCTCTTTCTATGTCTATGTGGAAGTTCTCAAACCTTCTATCTTACTTTAATATTTCCAGATTTGTCCTTTTCTCCTAGCCATTACAATGGATCGACTCTTAGCCATTTGGTATATTCTTGTATTTTTAGGTGGGTAGTTTCATCTTATTTTTGATTGTTAAGCACTGTTTCATTTTATTCACACCGCATTTAGTTTTCCTGTAATAGAATATCAACTACTAAGTATGCACCATGAACCATGAGACTTTTACTTTGGTTAATTAACATCTTATATATTTTTTCATCATTTTTTAACGGTGTAAAATCGATTGTTCTTGCTTTTTCCATTCTGATAGAAAATGGAAAATGGGTGGCTTGTAGGATACATGTTTGAAGAAGAAGAAAGAAAAAGATAAGAATATATGTGATTGTGGTATGTTCTAAACAATGATGCTATATGCCCTTGGTTTTGTTTCCTTTTGCAGCTTCTTCTGCATCCCAACCTGCACCCTTTCCTTTCGCTAGCTGTATATATCTTATGTACTGCTACTGCCTTGTTTCAGCGCCTGACATGCTCACAGTCACACACTCTCGTGATTCGTATTTTGTCTTCTTCCCCTCACAACACCATACTCATCTTAGGTACATGTTTCACTCGATTGCTCCTGTTTTACTCACTTCTTTTTTCCTTTTTTTAAATTCATTCGGATTCACCAAAGTAATTGAGATGTGTACTTTAATATTATGTGATGGAGGATGTTGCAAGAATCTTTAATACTATTATTTGGTTTACATAAATAAATTCAAATAATGATAAAGTAATCTTTTTGTTTGTTTGTATAATGCTAATTTTTTTAATAAACAAAAAATATCACATAAATTTTTGGTGTAAGTTATAATAACAATAAAAAAATTTAAATTTAATATTGTATGGATATTATATTATTTTTTTATTATTAGACTGACTTTAACAATTTATACATATTTTTAATTGTAATTTCATGTCTAACATGAAAAAATAAAGTCTAGAATTTAATTAAAGCATAAAATATGAAATCATTTGTACTAACATGCACAAATTAATTTGAAATATATGATTGTTTTCAAAATAAATAAATAACATTTGACAAATATTAAAAAAGTTCAATGGAATCTGATGTTTAAAACTAGCGGGTAAATTGAAGAACTACACGGACAGAGAAAGTTTGGCTGGTGTCATCATGTTTTGACAGTGAATAATAATATGTGTATCCACATTCCAACTTTTACACAATTATGGCCAATTGATTGCCTTTACCAATCCAGAATTAGACCTAATTATGTTACTATGAATGGAATGATACAAACCTAACATTAGGTAAGTCCATCTATAAGGGGGGTACATCTATAAGGCGTGAAGTGACACCTAGTTTTTCTTTCATGAGTAAATAGGAAGAGAAGGTGGACTCTTTATCCATATGAGAATATTTATACTATTAATAAAAAAGTTAATATATTTTTTTAGGGTGCATATACTTTTTAAAATCTTACAAAAAAAAAATCAAAAACTTACTAAAAAAATATTCTTTTTAAAATTGTTTTAAAGTACTTTTTTTATGCAAATTTTTTATTAAGTTTAATTACATTTTTTCTCTACTTTATCATAAATTTATTTTTCAAACATTAAACACCCTTTACATAATTATTTAAAATTATTATACTTTCTAACTGTTAATTATTCACGTATAATTAAAATAAATTAATTTATTATTTATATTAATTTTTTTATATATAAATATGTTTATTGATGTACATATTCTATTGACTATTTTTTCCTTAAATTCTCAAATATCAATGGTACTAAATTAATATAATACAAATTGTAAAAAATAAAGAAATTAAAAATTAAAAATTAACATAAATAATTAAATTATATTTATAAAAACATTATTAAAAATATGTTATTCAACTCCTGGAAACAGTGTGGTTCAATAGCTATATTTACATAATGTATTAATTATTTTTTTATTTATCAATTTTGTGTTTTTTTAAGGCATTTTTTGGGGGAATTCATGGGTGTAAAATGTGGTAGGTGAGAGGAATTTACTTGTTTTTTTCCCTTTATGTAATTTAATGGTCAATTAGTAATGCATATTGGTGTGAGTGTTCAATATAATGCATGAAACTACCACACTACCCTTTTTTAAAGAGTGCAAAGTAATAATAGGAAGACTAAGGAGGTGGTGTCGTTGTTTATGTTTTAGTTCTCTCGCTTTTTCCCTTAGTCTTATCCATTCTGCTGGCAGGTGGAATTTCGTGCTTCATATTCTCCAGCTTGCATTCGCTCAAGTCAGCAGTTTCCTGAGCTCTCAATTACGTATGCTTCTCTTTTGCCTTTTTCTTGAACTATTCCTCCTCCCTTGAGTAAAAAGGGAAAATTACTGAAAATTTATGGTTGTTGTACTTTCTTACGTGATATGAGTAGCTTTTGTGCTTTTAATCTACTTGGTTTATAAGCTGTCCAAATCTCCAGAGTTTTTTCAGTTTGAGTGAACTTTTTTTTTTCTTTCTTGTGTTCTATTTTTTTTTTTATGTTTTTAAAATGCTAAAATGAAGAAAACAAATTTGGCTTTGTTTTTTTGGTTTTAATACATCAATTAGTTTTCTGAACTTTTTGGAAATTCTTAATTAAGTTCCGAAACTTAAAAATATTGTAATTGAGCCCTTGATTTTTTATATTTTTTGTAATTAAGTTCTTGTAGATAATATGTGGTGGTTTCCTCTTTGGGAAGTTATGTTGGACGTTCTTCCGGAGGACTTCAGGCTTTGCTTCAAGTTGATGCCATAGCCACAACTTTCCTACGTGTTTAATGCTACCTTTTCTTTTGTTTTCATTTGTAACCAAAAAAATAAATAAAAATAACATCATAAAATTAACAATTTGTGATTTTTTTTTAAGGACCTAATTATAAAATCTCAAAAAGTTCAGAGACTTGGTGATCCCTTTATTATTATTATTATTATTATTATTATTATTACAATATCAAGTTGCCACCACATTTTTCCTGAAAATTGGTGGAAATGAATATTTGGTTTTAAAATTTGGCCCCGGTGTTAGAACTGTTTCCCAAGGTTTTCATTCAAACCTAACCAAATGCATTTTCAAATTTGTTTTCTGTTTAAATTGAAAATGAGAAAAGGAAATAAGCAAACTAAACACTAAAATATTTGACTTTTTAGAGATTCTACCATCAAATCAAATGCAAAGCAATCCCATTTTTTTCCCATTGTTTGCTTGGGGAAAAACCAAAAGTACATGAACTAGAGTTAATATCCCAAATTATCTATGTAAAGGTATATGACTAAAATACTTCTTATAATGACTTAGGCAAGTTTATTCATTGAGTTGGACTTTGGAACTGCGTTAGACCCAGCCTGTTCTGAATTCTAATATTGTATTAAAACCTATCAAATACCAGGAAATTATATCAGAGAAACTTCTTTATTGTATAGACAGCAACTATAGGAGGTCAACTAATTTGATGAAGAACTTATATCCTGCATCAGCAATTTTCATGGAAAATTGTTGTGATAAGCAGCTTTTGACAATTTCCGTACATTCATGTCTCTGGCAGATACTCAAGCAAAAAATTAGCATTTGGAATAGTTGATGTTGGTCTCTTTCCCAATGCTGCTGAAAAATTCGGAATATCTCTAAGTGGTACTGATATTAATTGATAATCATTTGAATTAGCATTTGCATTTCCTTTTTTCATTAAAAGTACTTAATTTCTTTCTGTTTTAGTTTTCTTGTTTCTCTAGTTGTTATTGTATAGCGAATAGGGAATTTATATGATTCCTTGTGTTGTGGTCAGGAAGCATGGGCCAGCTTCCAACATTTATCTTATTTGAGAATGCAGCTGAAGTTGCCCGCTTTCCAGAGTTGGATTTTGAAGCTACATATTTTCACCCTACGATTACAAAGGTATCTGTCATAAGTAGGATATGCTATTTTGAATATTGATTATAACAAGGCCAACTGATCAATCCTTATTTGGATAAACTTTTCCTATAGATAAGAAAATAAGGTACAATGAGTTGGGTTTTTCTCCCAAGTTAACTTGTGCATCTTAGTTTTTTGAAAAGTTAGATAAGAGAACTTTTATAAAACATAAGTGCACAATTTGATTTTAATTTATGGGTGTTCAATTTATTTTACTTTATTTTTTCTATCTAATAAATACTTACAAGTTACAAAAAAGGTTTATGTATAAGCCTTTTTGAATATAGTGTTGAAAGGCTTTTAAGAGCTTCTCTATTGAAAATTAAGAGTATTTTTCAATAGAGAAGCTCTTAAAAATTCTTCAAAGCTTGTATCCAAATATAATCTTATACAGCTAAAGTATGCTTTGATTTTAAAACATTGTCCATGGGCTGTGTCATGATTCAAGTTGAGCATTGATCAATTAGTTGTTTCTGACCTAGAGTTTAACCGTTCATATGAACTGTGAGCTGCAGGGACTTCTTTCTCGACATTTTGAGCTTGATCGGTACCTTCTCGAATATATTAATGGTAAATAGGTAATTGCCTCGTAGTTATAAACATCTAATACTCCTTTTTCTGGATTGAGGTTTGTTTAGGATGTAATGGAGCAAGATGTACGAAATTTAATCTCTCTTCACTAATATATGCTATAATTACAGGTGGTGTGACATCTAGCATCAATTCAAAGAAAATCAATTTTTTTCGGGTAAAGAATTCTAATTTTAGTTGAACAAAATGATTTTATCATAAATTTCTTTTAAATTATCTAAATATAACGTCTAACGTTTCGTTGTGGTCTAAAAAACTAATTTAGGATAAGAAATTCCTTTCAGTAAGAAGCGGATTTACCTTGTTGGATACGTGAGAAATTACAATTTTTTAATCAAACATAGTTAAAATATAGTTTTTTTTTTGGGGGGAAATGACATAACATTCAAGTTTTTTCCCTATGCATATAAAATCAAAGAGGCACAAATGTGACTTGAAACTCTTTTTATTTTAAAAAAATATTTATTTTAAAAATATTATATACATAAAATAGATTGAGGGAAATTGTCCTAATTGTAAATTTGATGGAAAAAAAAACTTATGAAATAACGTTTTTTTTTTTTTTTGAAAATGATTGAGATTCTAATTAATGTTGGTCACGGCCCACGATTAAAACATTCAATTTTTTTTAATAAATAGCTATTTAAGTTCGAATATCATAGCAAAAAGTTAATTTTTTTTGTACGAAATTCAATTTATTATCACAAATATCATAGTGATGAAAAAGATTAAGAGATTCAATCTATTACGACACAATTTTAATATCATGATTTGAGGCTAGTATGTATTTTTTAGATTTGTGATTTTAATTTCTTGATTTAATATCACAATTCTATTATCTCCAATTTAAACATGTTGCAATTTTAATATTTAATTATTTATGATTTAATATAATTTTAATTTTCTAAAATAAATAAATATATTTAGAAATGATAAATAATAATTTCACATATAAAATATAATCTAACATGCACGTTCCTTTTTTAATAGTAATTATTTAAAATAATTTGAACGTGAGAATAATTTTATTATTATCAAATTATACAAAACATAATTATAGACATTAATTAAAATATATAATTTTAAAGTTTGTACTAAATAAACTTGTTTATTAGAAAATAAAAAAACAATTTAACATAAATAAATAAAAATTATTTATAAATAAGAATGTGTTTATTATCATATTTTAATTGAGTATTTAAGAGTAGTATTTTATAACTCAATATGCAAAACTTCTCCAAAATTCCAAAGAATAGGATTACTTGTGTAAACAGAAATTAATAAATAAATGCGTTTTTTAGTATGTTGTTAAAAGTTTTATTATTGACTATAGCTATAAAAGAAAAAATTTGAATGGGAGAGGAAAATTATTTCCATAAATTTTATACCTTTAAGATATTGTTTTTGGTTTAAAGGTATTTATTTGAAACCACTCAATTCCCCGAAAATGCTTGAAAGACGAGAATCTAAATGTGATACCCTGTTGTATTTGATGTTCAACACCCCATCGTGTGAGAACAAAGACACAAATCTATAGGAGCCTATAAACTAAAAAATCCTTAAATAAGTGTCTAAAATTGTAACATATTAATCTTAAATTCAAAGATAGTTTTTAGTAAATTGAAGCCAAACAAGCTCTATCTTTTGGAGCATTCTCTTGATCCCTTAGAAATGTTCGAAGAGGATAACTCTACAAAGAAATTTGAGTCATTTGACACCTGGTTTTACTTGGTGTTCAACATTACCATCATACAAGAGAACAAAAACACAAATCTTATTGTAATTGTTATTGGAGTAAATATTCCAATTTTTCTCAAAAAATTATATATCCCATTTAGTCCCTAAATTTTAAAAATAATATATTAGTCTCTAAAATTAAGAAATTGTTAAACATAAATATGAAATTACAAACTAATAATCACATTAATTCAATGACAAAAATGATAGTAAATAGTTAAATTTAAAAACTTATTTGACATTCTTAATATTTATTTGATAATTTATTAATATCATATATGAATACGACAATGTCTTCCAAATTCAAATATTAAAGTGAGTGTTTGGTTATTATTTGGTAAATAGGGGAGAACTCCACTTATTTCAATAGTAAGTTTAAGTATATTTATTCGATTCAATAACTTATGTTTTATATTCGATTTTAATGATCTAATTGTTAAATTAAAAGTTTGAATAGATCAAGTCTACAAATATTTAAAAAAAAATTAAAAATCATTTGATATTTCATTTCAATAATTAAAATTATCAGATATTCATAAAAATAATTTATATGTTATTTAAACCTATAAAACAAATTATTATGACTTTTAAACTTTTAAAAAATTTGTAAATTTAATTCATAAATTAAGAACATTTAATTTAAAGATTAGATCATAGAAATATAATACTCCCTCCGTTTTTTATTCGTAGTCGTTTAAGGTTTTGTACGGGACTTAAGGAAATGATTGATATTTTAGTTTTCAAAAATATTTATGACTTACTTTCCTATTCTACCCTCTATTTTTTTTTATAGTATTTCGTTGGAAACATATTGTCCTTTTAAATGTAACATTAACTTCACATAGGTGATTGGAGAAAAAATAGGTAGATATTAAAAATAAATAGATACATTGTTCAGTAAACATATATTAATTATCAAGAGTAAAAATGAGAAAAAAAATTAATAAAAAAAATGACTATGAATAAAAAATGGAAGGAGTATAATGTATAAATTATTAAGTAAAGTAAAATTATCTTTTACCCATGAGTCATATGCTACATAATTCCGGTGACTAAACCTTGAATTTCGTCCTCCATTTTGTGGGCCATAAGCTGGAGGCCCACATGGTATTTGGTGACGAGATCTTGAAGAAGCAAGCCTTCAACGGGGTCAACGGCGAAGGACCATTCCAACATGCATCCATCAGAGTCATCATCGCTGAGGACCTTCGTGGTTGACTCGTATGACCTAAACGCAATGTTGCCGTCAATCATCTCGTACTTGAGGCTGAAGTCAACATCATCAACGGCTACCAGCCTTTCCTTTGACCAGCTCATGCTCCCCGAGGCATTGGATGGAATGGAGGAGCCGGCGCAGTATCGTATGCAGCCAGGCTCACCGTTAGATCCGTGAATGCTGTAACACGTGGCGAGGGTAGGGAAGCGGTTGTGGAGATTGAAAAAGTCCTTCACAAGGGGCCATGCTTGTTCTTTAGTGGCGTTTCTCATCTTCTCTGATACCTTCCCCTCCCATCTTTCGTGCAACTCATGCTCCATTTTGGTGCAAACCAACAAACTCCGGAAGGAATGAACCATATAAACCAGATTTTTTTAAATAAAAATTAACAATTAATAATACACAATGTAATTTTATTTTCATTTTATTCATATTTCAAAAAATTAATCCAAAATAATTAATTTCGGATAATTTATAATAATTCACCCACCTTGATAATTTTTTTTTTTAAAATATATGTCAATTGAAAATGTATAAAAACAATAAAAATAAAATAAAATTGTATATTCAGAATTATTTATTAAAATAATATTTTCTTTCTTCTTTATTAACTTTTCATTTGTTATTTTATCAAAATTGTCTTATAACATTTGCTATTTTATTTATTTTTCATTAACTTTTCATTTATGTCATCATATGTTTTCTTGATCTTATGTATTTTTTTTTTACAATTAAAAGATATAACTCTCTTTTACAAAGTCTACACATATTAAGGATAAATCCATACCTTCAATTTTAATTCCATGTTTAAAGTAAAAATTGAACTCAGAAATTTAATTAAAAAACACAAATATTGAACTATTTATGCTAACAACTTTTATTCTGTTATGTATTTTCAATCTTTCAAATTTAACTATTTATATTTTTTTATAGATTTTAAAGTTTTCAAATAAATAGCAGTAAAAGATACAGTAATTCTTAATAAAGTAATTATTTTTATCTTGTTATATATGAATCTTAAATAGAGGGGAAAACCAATTAATGTAATAATATACATTTCGTACAATTTCTTTACGTAATTATAAACATGTCCTAGTAAATATTAATAAAAAGATAAGAATAATATGTTTCGTACACTACACCGGCAACTAATTATATTTTTTAGACTAAAATAGTTTTTTAGTCCTTTATAATAATTGTTTGTTTCAATTTAGTCCCACTTTTATTTTTTGTCTCAATTTGGTCCTTAATAAATTAATTGGTTGCAATGTCGGACTTCCGTCTAAACTATTTAAACGGAGTTAACTATTGGTCACGTGGATTTCACGTAGATGCATATGCCATGTGGATGCCAAATTTTGTTGAAAATACCTGGAACCAGAATGGTTTGTTCTGAAACAAGAACGGGCCGCTTTGGATGCACTCTTGGTGTGTTAATTTTGCATCCGGAACGACCCGTTCCAGGTGCAAAATTAACACACTAAGAGTGCAACCAGAATGGGCCGTTCTGGTTTCAAAACGGGTCGTTCTGGTTCCAGACTGCTAAACACAAACGGTCAATGATTATAGTTCACGGTTGTGAATCATGGAAGGAAAAAGACCCTGGGTACAAAACATTTCAAACATTGAATTTGGTAATATTGTTAATGAAAATTGATAACTTCAATTGCTAAACAGTTGGGTTATACAATGTATCATTAAGGACAATGCAGTGTATCACTAAAGACAATAGTAACAGATTTTATTTCATTGTTAGTCAAATTGTATTGAACCACTTACTACCAAATTGATACTATACAGTAAAGGATGAACTGACATGGTATTTTTCCTTGAAGTCATTAATGATGTACTCCAACAACAACAACCTCTTCTTGAAGAGGTAAAAACTGAAGTAAAGGAAGAGGATACACAAGACTAACATTTCACTACACAACCATATGCAGGGACAGATCTAAGTTAATCACAAGTGCCCCCACTAAAATTTTTTTAATTCTTTTTTTTTTATATATATAAAATATTAATAATTTTATAAAATATATATTATTAGTTTTATTTTAATTATGTTGTTATATCTAATATAATAAATACATTAATATTTTTTATATATTTTATTTTATTGTTTAATTATTTTTTATTTTATGGTAAAATTATCTTCATTTTTAATGAAGAAAAAATTTACTTACTTCAAGAGTAAGTCTTGATAGATTTATTCTACTTAATAATTAATGTTCTATATCAAATTTTTAAAAATTTAATTGTTAAATTAAAAAGCTTTTCATGTATAGATCAAATTTATAAAAAATTTTAAAAAATTAAAAATCATATTATACTTTGTTAAATTAATTCAAATTAATATATAAAATATTTTTGTTTTAAATGAGTGTAAAAATTTAGAGGACACTAAAAGAAAACAAATTAATAATTTTATTATGTTTATCCTATTAATTTTTATCATTTTATTCCTCTAATTTTAAATAAGTTGCAAAAAATTATAAAGTGACACTTAAATATTTCTTCAAACAAAAAGAGAAAAAGGAAAAGTTATCACTTTATTTATAAGACAATTATATTTTATAAAAATAAGTAATTTTAAAATTTTTACCATAAAAAAATATTTTTCAAAATTATTATTTTTTAATAAAATTAATATAGAATATTCTATTGTCCTCATTTAACAAGTTGACATTCTGGAACGGGCTGTTCTGGATACAGAACGGCCCGTTCTGAAACCAGAACGACCCTTTCTGGTTTCAGAACGGACCGTTCTGCTGTACTGGTGGTGTGTTAATTTTGCATCTGGAACGACCCATTTCAAATGCAAAATTAACACACCAAGAGTGCACCCAGAACAGCCCATTCTGGTTTCAGAACGGGCCATTCTGGTTTCAGAACGGGCCATTCTGGTTCCAGGTGTTTTCAAGAAATTTGGCATCTACCTATGCATCTACGTGACATCCACATGACCAACAGTTAACTCCATTTAAATAATTTGGACGGAAGTCCGACATTGAAATCAATTAATTTATTAGGGGACCAAATTGAGACAAAAAATAAAAGTGGGACTAAATTGAAACAAACAATTATTATAAGGGACCAAAATAGGTTTTTAGCCTATCTTTTATATCTTTTAATTTTACACTGACAGTGTGTAGATGATTAACTCATTTTTAATAGTGTAATTTCACTTTTCCAATGCCACCAGAACCTTACAATTTGTCTTGCTGATGACATTTGTTTTTTCATTTATTAGAAGCCCTAGGTTATCTTTATATAGATAACAATTTCCATGTGAATCGGTGAAAGTGTCTGCTTGTTTCTGCAGGTTACAGTCATGGTGCACAAAAATGGCAAAAGGGGGAAGCCAATCATTCTGGTGACTGGGACGCCAGGTACAGGGAAGACAACTGTGTGCACTGCTCTAGCAGAAGCTACCCAGCTCCACCACATCAATGTTGGAGAATTAGTCAAAGAAAATAACTTGCGTGATAGCTGGGATGATGAGCTTGATTGTTATGTTATTAATGAAGACTTGGTAAGCTACCAGTTTATATATTTAAGATCGTTCTTGTATGTTTTTAGTTGGTATTTGATTCTTCTATAGTGAAATGTTAAGGTGAGAAAGTAAGAAACTAAGAATATATATACTGTTTATTTAAAGTGTGTTAATTTTATTAGGTAATTTAATTCTAAATTTCAAATGAATGGTAGATACACCTTTACTTCCTTATTTCACGAACCTCATTTTAGAATAGCCAAAATCCTTTTGTGGTGCAACATATGGATTTTGATGAAGGTTTTTAAGTTTGTTTGAAGTATGCACTGGTAGTAGATGAGAGGATTATAAACTTTAACTAAACCACGATGATCCTTGTCAAAAGTTGAGGTGGTAGATATATTGAGCATAGAATTGGAGACTATATCATAGTTCCTTTCTTTTGCGGTAAAAGTGCATGCTACTTAATATTGAGCATAAAATTGGAGACTACTTGATGGTTCCTTTCATTGGTAGAAAAGGTGCGTGCTACTTAATCTTACAATTTTCCTGGATCAATTTCTAGTAACACTTTGGTGACAGTAACTTACTGAAGTAGGAGTGTTTAAGGTTCTACACTTTACTGACCCTGTCCCCTGGGCAAGATATCCTTACATGTATTTTTACTCGTGTAATGTTTAATCCTTTTGCATGTCTTTACCCCATCCCCTCCTTTGTTCTTCTTGATAACAACTCTTGAAATTATTATCACATCTTCATACAAATGTTGAATTTCCAGTGGTACAACTGTGATAAAAGACATTGAAACTAATTTTTCTCAATTTTCCTTATGAGCTTAGTTGTCTGTTTATACCATTGGTTATGAGCGTGTAGTTGTAATTTTCTTGGGGCTCTTCGTTCAGCACACTTCCACAAGAAAATGGAAGCACTGTTTTAATTTATTATTAAAAACCTACTTGTTCAATTATGTGTCCAAATATTTTAGTTTGATATCAAACTGATACCTGCATTTGGTTTATGTTGGATTATATGAAACAATTTTGATATTATCCCCCTTGGTTGACACATTTCTTGTCATCTTGTGTACGTTGCCTGATATATAGGTTTTACGAGTATAATTTGCGTGGTTTCTATAGGTCTGTGATGAACTTGAGAATGTTATGGAAGAGGGGGGAAACATTGTGACTACCATGCTGTGATTTCTTTCCTGAGCGATGGTTTGCTTGTGACCGTTTGAGTAGGAGGTATGGAAGCACTTGTTTCTGTTATTGAACGTTGATTTTGCTACTCTATTTTTGGTTTCATATTAACTTACTTCCCCCAAATATGTGGCAGAGGGTACAAAGATTCAAAGCTTTCGAACAATATTGAATGTGAAAATTTTCAAGTTCTGCTTGAGGAGGCTAAAGAAAGTTACTTGGAGAACAAAGTAATTGCAATGAAGAGTGATAATATTGATGACATTAGTAGAAACATTGCAACTCTGACAGATTGGGTCAGAAATTGGCCTTTACCCTCATAATCTTGACAAAAAAATAAGGTACTTTGTATATACCATATTGAAAGAGTATGAAAAAAGTGTCTAAAGATCAACTACTACCTGAAGCAGGTCTGCAGTGTGGTTGAATTACCTGTTACAAATTTTGGTTTGGGCCATGTGGCTCGTATTTTGGGATATTTATGTTATGGTTTTAAATATGTCAATTAAAAGGGTATTTAACTTTTATTCTTTTTGCAATTTTGCTTTCAAAAATAATTATTCTTTTACCGAGATTTGTGAAACTAGGTTTCAAATAGTTATTGACTGAGGCTTGATTAAACGAGATGAAATATAAATCCAAGTGATGTAAAATGCTATTCCTATGGTAAAAGAGAGGGGTTTGTTTTAATTACCAAAAGTTGATGATTTATTACATAAAGAGAGGCAACAAGTAAATAATATTCATCCCATGTAGTATACTAGAAAAAGAAAACTATGTAGTAAGTCATGTCTAGTTTTATAGAAGATTTTGTTTTGTTGAATTGAACCTTGCAAGAATGCACAAAGTATTTGTTTGAGAGTTGTAAGTTTGAATTTGCACTTAAATAAAGATGATTGAAAACTTATTGAACCTAACTCAACCTGTGAAGAGCAAAGTTATGTAATGAGGTGAATATTACCTAAGTTCTTTTATAAACTTTATCTATATCATATTTGCATTTAAGAAGAGATTATACAACAAAGAATCCTATCACAAAATAACTATATAATATATCTAAATTAAATTAAATAATATATACAATATTGATATGTCAATGAAAGTAAATTACAAGGATTTTTAGAAAGTGTTTTAAAATTGATAATTAATTCAAAATAAAATAGGTTAAGAATTTTATTAGATAGGATTAGTTTATTTTAAATATATATATATATATATATATATATATATGTATATTTTGTAATTTTTCTTTAATTTTCTAAGATGATGTCAGTTATATATGAAGATAAATTTACTTACTTCAAAGATAATTCTTGGTAAAATTATTATATTCAATAAATCAGTGTATAGATTGAATTTTAATGATCAAATTACTAAATAAATTTTTTTAAAGAATAAATAAAGTTTAATTTTTTTATTTATAAATTTTGAAAATTATTTTATAACTCATTAACATATATTTATAAAAATATATCATATATTAATTTGAATATATATAATAAAGTATCATAATTTTTAAATTTTGCAAAATTTTATATACATGATTTATTCATTAAAACTAAATAATATTGTTCAGTGATTAAAGATATATTTAATATATTATTCTTTTATGTAAGCTTAATTTTTTTATTTATTATTTTGAGTTGATTAAAGATATATTTAATATCTGTTCCAACTTGATAATTTGATGTTTGTAATAAAAAAATATTGATTTAATTATATTATTTTTTATACCAATTTAATTATATTGTTAATAATTTAATATATAAATATATATATATTTTTTTATTATATCATATAGATAAATAAGTTGTTTATTAGGTCTAATAGATCTTTTTATAAATTTACATCTAACCTTTTTTTAAAAATAAATAGGTTTTTTTTAAAAGCTTGAGCATGACCTTTTATTTATTTATTAACATTGGTCAGCATAAATTGGTCAGCATAAATAGTAGTACTTGTGTCCTTTAATCAAAATGTTTAAGCTTCAAATCCTAATCTTGAATATGAAATAAATTATATTAGAAAAAAAAATCATCATGGATGCATGCACGTGTACGTTATCATCAAAAAATTCAAATCTTAATCTTGAATATGAAATAGATTATGTTATAAAAAAAATAATCATCTTATATAATCGATAATTTTAACATATTAATATTTTGTACTAACACCATAGTTAAAAAAATAAAATAAAAAAACTCTCTAATCATAACATAAAAAATTAATAATGCAAAAAGTTGATGAAAGCACCAATTTAACTAATAAATATAGTGAAAATTTCTAAGTCGAGTGGATTAAACTGAAATCAAAAATAAAATTTAGGGATTAAAATTTAGTTTAGTCTATATTAAAAATATTTATGTTTTATTTTTTATATAATAATTTATATTCAAATGTATCTTTTTAAGTTTTTACTTATAATTTAATCTAATCATATAAAAATTGGAAGGACCAATGTTGCGTTTATCGTTTATCGGAGAAAGAAAGAAGCACTCAAATGAAAATAGGTTTTATTGTGTGAGAGAGAGGGAAGCTGTGATCGAAGTTTGGGGGTTTTCATTCACGAGCGACCGTTGCCGTTCAAGTATTTTGGAGCTTTAAACTCAAATGAGTTTCTCCCAAAATTCCATTTTTGTCGGTAAAGTCTCCGTCTTTCGCTTCCTCTCACAGTGCACTTGTTTCTGTGACCAGGTTGAGAGTTCTGAGTTGTTTTACTTTCTACACTTCACATTCCAAAACTAAGCTTAATAGACACTTTGGAGTGTATAGGTTTCTTGAGGTTACAAAGTTCACACCATGTCTAACAATACCAACTCCAAACCTCAACCCTCTTTCTTGAATGCTCCTAATCCCAACAACCAACTTTTCTTGCAAAACAATGGTGTGGGCATGCCACCCCAGCACCAAGGGCAAAACTTGATGCCCCCTTTTATGAGGCCACCCATGAATGCAGCACCTTTCATGAATGCTGCAAATCACAACCATTTTCCCTTGCAAAACAATCAACTGCATATGCCTCATATGGGTTTGCCTGGTCATCAACAGGGTCAACCCCATGTGGGAGTTTTGGGTCCCCAAACTAGTGCTTGCAATGTCAATTACAACAATCCTATGTTTCCTATGCAGAATGCAGCCCAGCTCAATTTTTCTCAACTTCAGGGGCAAATTTTAGCACAAAATATGCTGAATATGCTTCAGCAGCCTAATATGAATATGAATATGAGTATGCCAAATGGGCAGTTTTGTGCCCCTTATCCTATGCAAAATATGAATCAACAGTTACCAATGCAAAGGCCAAACCCTTCTCAAGGGGTTCCTTATGGCATGCATCATCCTGGTTCTGGCCCCATGTTTGGGTTTCCAAACCAAGTGCCTCAGGCTGTGGTCCCTCAGAATTCAATGTTTTCTGCAAATCCCCAGTTAGGTCTTGTGCCTGGAAATCAGGCCCGGCCACACATTGACCCGAATGAGAAAAAACTGGCGCCATCAAATGTGAACTCAAATGCTTTTGAATCATCATCAACTTTTTTGCCTCAGCAGTTACAAGGGAATACTTCTGGATCATTTAATCCAAATATGGTTCCTACAAATAACTCTCAACCTCATGCATTTATGATGTCATACTCACAGGTATTGAGAACTGAAGTGTTTCTGTCTTTTCAACGTGTATTAGAATTTAGAAGAGTTATTATTCTACTACATGTATAGAAATACTATTGTACTAGAAGTTGTGGCTATTATATTTATTGCAAATCGTTATAATTGCTGCAGGAAAATCCTAATAGCAACATTAAAACTAATGTTCCTAATTCAAACTGGAAAGGATCACCAGGCAAAAACTTCAGAAATAAACCAACAAATCGAGCGGGTTCTCAAAGAGGGTATGCTATTTTCTTCTCTGTTTTGTTACTCTTGGTTCATCGAGTTAAACAATTGATCACTTATGTCACGGTTACAATTGTTGTCATGTTCCCTTAGATTTCAGAAGTCTAAATTTCATGATGTCAACAAAGGAAACAGGAGAATTGAATTTCCTAAACAACATAATGGCAAAGGTTTGAACTTTGCCACCTTGTTACCAATATGAAAACCTTTTTTCTGTGGTTAGGCTAATGCTTGTGGTGGAAGCAGGGCCTAACAGTTGGAGGGCAGGACAGGATGGTTTAAAATCAAAGGAACTTAAGCAGCAACCAGAAAGGTAGCTGCTTCTGCTTCACCTTCCAATCCTTTCTTATCTGGCTCCAGTCTATTACTTATTAGCAGTACTTGCATACAACTGCTTTGAATTGTCTTTGGTTCATAATGATAATGTGTAACAAGATGCTAATATTGGCTGCTTCCTAGAATGTTACTGTCTTGTAATGTTCGAATAAAAATGATGTGTATTAGAAAGGTAAAACAATATTTAGAGAAATTCTTTGCTAGTCTTTGAGAAGTTTTGGCATATCATCCCTGTTTGTGTGCCCAAATGTGCAGGTTTTTTAGTCTATCATTAGTCACTGCATTTTTTATGATGTGGAAAATAGGGAATAAATCAACTTTATTTTCTTTTTATTTATTTTTTCTTATAAGTACTTATCGAGAAGTTTATTCAAAACATATATGATTCTATATAATTAAAACACCCTGTATTATTGAGTGAATAAGGTTTAGATCTTTCACGATTTTGATTCTGAAACTTAAGATTTTTTGTTTAAATAAAATGTCTTCCAGAATCCAGATAACTATCTACTCATCTAGATGAAAACTTCGATATCTTTTTGGTGTTATTTTTCGAAATTATGTTTGCTTTGTCAGAATTTTTCGTTTTGTCTGCTATCCAATTACTTATCTTAAACTTTTTAATTCCTCAACCTATTTTTTTTATACTAACAATATCTTAACTCTAACGCTGATGTTGTGTATGATTGCTATTATTTCATTTCTTGACAGAACCTTCTATGTGACTTACACTGAACAAGAAATCCAACAGTGGCGTGAAGCCCGGAAAAAGAATCACCCTTTCAGTAACAAGATTCAGGTTTTAAACAAACTTATCTACCTACTGCTTCTGTTTATCAGATGTTATTGTGTAATGCTCATTCCTGAATTACTGCCTGCAGAAGAACAGTGAATGCCCCAAAGACTCCAAGGTCATTAATAGAGAGGTCTTACAAAGAGAGGTATACTTATTAGAGGGACGTTATTACTTATTAGTGTATAATTTATTGTTCTATGGAAAGCTAAGCAGATTGCATTTTTTTAGCATGAAATATAAGCTCTGACAAATAAATCAAATTATATTGTTCAATAGAGAGCTAAGCAAATAGTGTTTTTTTAGGAGTGATACACGTACAACAATTTATGCATCATTTTTTGTGTCTATCATTCTCCACCATATCACTTATTACATTTCAAACTTTTCTCTCTCTTTCGAAGTTGTTAAATTTGTTGGATAATTTGTTGAACAAGTATCATTTCCCTTTTCATAGCATGAAATATAAGTGCTGACAAATCAATCTTTCTTGGACTCAACAAATAGTATTTCACTGATAAATATATTTTTGTCTTTGCAGCTCAAGGAAATTTTAGCAAAGCAAGCTGAATTGGGAGTTGAAGTTGCTGAAATACCATCATACTACCTGAAGAAATCTGAAAATCAAGGTCTTCAGAGGGAAGGGAGAAACAAATTTAACGACAAAAGAAAATTTCAAAACAAGTCCAACAAGAAACCAGACCGGAAAGGTCAGTTCACCAAGAAACAGAAGTTTGCTGACAAAGATTCTTCAGAAAGCCCTTCTTTAAAGAAGAGAAAACCAACTTTATTGCAGAAACTCTTGAGTGCAGATATAAAGAGGGATAAGTGCCACCTGTTTCAGGTTTTCAGGTTCATGGTAGTGAATTCTTTCTTTAAACATTTTCCTGATAAGCCACTCAGATATCCATCCGTCTTGGTTAAAGAAATTGGGTCTGAACTTGATGGTGAAGAAAAATACTTGCACACTAGAAAAGATGTTTTTAAACAAGAGAATGAGGAAACAGTTCAAAAAATTGTAAACCTCAATGACGATAATGGCCATGATAGTGAAGATGAAGACAGTGATGATGATGAGAATGACTCTATTGTTGATAGTAATCAGCAAAAACCACCTTCCTTGGTCAAAGGAATTGAAAAATCTGATGAAGAGGAGGGAGAAATTAAAGAATGAAATTCCAAGGTTGCTCTCTATAATTTTGAGTTAAGTTTTTTAACACTGATTGTAACATTTTCTGTTGAGTTATTTCTGTTTCTATGGTTGTTTTACCATTACACATAATATTACAGTAAATATGTTTTTGCAGCAAAGCTTTTGAATACTATCAGTTGCACTATATTTTGACACAGGTCATGGATTGGGCCTGCCAAGTTCAGAACTCTCCAATGTTTTGAGCAAAGGATCATTAAGATTAGAGACAGTTTCATTAGATAGTGATAGGTGTTTGATGCTATGACATATAACAATGTTCTAGTCTTCTGGATTATGATTTTTTTGTACGTAAAAACTAAATATATCTTTTACTACAAGGAATTCTGTTTGACATGGATAAGTCCATTTTCCATTTTGATGCTATGACATACCTCAATGTTCTAGATTTGAATTCTTGGAGTTTCAATTTTTCACTTGTTAAAGAAGCAATAAACCATATGGCAAAATCTTTTAAGAGGAAATAGACAATGCAACAATGCTACATCCCAGCAGTCAAAATGCTATATAAAGTCCGCTACGGTTGTTAAAGAATCAAGAAATAAAATATAAAGGTTTTATTAAATATTACACTAGAAATGTTTTGATTATATTAAATACTTTATTTCTTTTATATATATTTTTTTGAATTTTTGATTTCTTAATTTGTATCCTAATGATGTTGGTTAGTAAAAAAATTTCAAGTTAGTTTTTTTTAATTTGTTATTTATTTGTGTTATTTTTTTCTACTTATTTTTCTTTTCCATTTGAATTTTTATTTTATCCATTTAGGTGTTTTTTCCTAATTCATTTTTTTGTCTATCTGAATTTTTTCCTGTTATATATTTTTTGCACATTTGATTGAAATTTTCGTAACCATATATTGTTTGCCTATTTGTACGATTGTTTTCCTCAATTTTCTCACTCATTTATATTTTCTTTCTTTTCTATTCCTTTTTTTCACGTAATCTGTATTTTCTTTTACGATTTTTTTTCCCATTTTGCAGTTTTTTCCCGTCCGTATTTTTCTTGATCAACTGAAAGATTTTTTTTTCTTCTTATTTACAGTTTTCCTCTGTCATTGACTCATTGCCTCCCTGAGGAAAATCATACGGAAAAAGCAACAAGGGTTCCACACACACAATCCAACCATGTGATTTCATCACATTTATCTTCCTGAAAGAGTTAATGATTTATGATTCATCTCACTAAATCTTAAATTCTAAATCATAAATCTTTTTAAATGATTTAAAATTTATTTAAATAAATTTTTCTAGTACTTTTAAAAGAAAAAAATAGGGAGAAAAAGTGAAATAAACTTATCCATAAATTAAAATTAATATTTTAATTTATGCATAAGTTAAAAAAATTAGATTTTGAAAAAGCTAGTAAAAAAAGATTAATACACATTAATTTATAAGAAAGTTTATTTCACTTTTCCTTCTAAATTTTCTCCTAAAGTATTTTAGGAGACGTTTACTCAAATCATCCTAAGTTGCAACCAAATGCACCAATAGTTCACCAAATTAAGAAATACAAGTTGAAAAATATATTTTTAAAGAAACTTGCTAAAGAAACATATTCAAATTAAAGTTGACATTATAAACTATGAACGTAAATTCTTATTTTAAGTACGGATAAAAGCATTACATATATAGAATAATGTTAATATCATATTGTAAAAAAAATAACATTAGAAAGGAGAGTTGAATAATGTTTCACTTTTTAACCAACAAAAACTATTCATCAAATGCAATTAACATAGATAGACAGTACCAAATTCTATAAAAAAACTATCAAGTTTTAAAGAGAGAAGATTAACACCAAAGATTTTATATTGATTTATTTCCACCACTAAGATTATGTCTAATTCTTGATTAATAGATTAAGTTTTACTAACACAATTTTGTTTACAATAAGTGTTCTTTCTCAAGTCACTCCTGATTCAACAAAACAAAACTCAAGTATTCATTGACATAAAGTCTCTATGGACATTAATAACCCAAGTATTTTTTAATACCAAGTCTCTTCAAGCTTCCTAAATAGATAATAAAGAAAGAAATTATAAGAGACTAAAGTCTTCTTAAAAAGATAGATATTACAATGAAAGAGTGAGCTTGAGAGATTGTAAGGATTAAACATAATGAAAACACAACATTTTCTCAAAAAGATCTCTAATATATAAGTGAGCCTTGGAGCTTCCACTATTGTTACTTCAACTGCTTTTGCTTCATCTTCATTTCAAAAAGAACATTTAAATTTGTCCACTAAAGTACTAGATAACTCGCAAGGAGTGCTTATCTTATCTTTCTATAATTTGAAGCAACTTTGCAGTGGATAGGTAGGCAAAAAAGTAGAGCAATTGGCTTTTTTAAACAAATTGAGGCTAGTTTTGTCATTTTGCAAGTGAAGCTTCCAAAAATTAAGAAGACTAGTTCTTTGCCCAATTTTGATTATCCCAAGGTTGTTTTTTTTTGTTATATCTACAAATAGACAAATTCTGCAATAAATCCCTTAAATAGATGGTTCATCCATGAACCAATAAAGTATTATGTTTATTTTAAGTGGTTCACTGTGGATAATGGTGCTTCCACCATTAGATGTGAGGATATTTAAATAAGCGACAAGGATCAACTACTCATTACCTGTATTTATTATTGAGTGAATTTATGATTTTAGTTATAATTTAATAGTGAATACGTTTTTTGTTCTTCTTATGATACCTCAACCCTATCACAACCATAAATCTTCTACAGAAAATGACCCATGCTCCGATTCTGATCTCCATGCTTTTTCTAAGACCTCTATCTTCCAACCCTTTCAAGCACAAGCTCCCCATTGATGCTCTAATCGACAGTTTGCTCCTCACATAATCCTTCTGAACGTTAAGGTCTCTTTAATTAGGGTTTTTCATTTTTACTTCTCAATCTCGTTGATTTTCTTCTTCCTTTTTCTGATTCCTTACTCTTTTTTCCCAAGTTATTATGACGATGGGTCACTAATTTAGGGTATTTTTGTAATTTACTAAATTTAAATATTAAAAGAATTAAACTATTAAAAATATATATTACTGATATTGTTCACTTTTTTCACTCGTTCACATGGAACATTAACAAACTCACCCTAACAATCGTCCTATAAAGAATATAAGACAACCAAAGTATCAGTTCATTTAAGATAAATATAAGTGCGATATGATAAATTTTGTTTGTCACGACAACAACTTTATGAAATAAAAAAAGATGATAATTATATGAACTTATACATAGATAATTAAAAAAAATATTTATAATATCATTATCAACACTTAATTAAAAAAGGTGTCAATTCTCCTTTAAACTAACACATAGTTATATGAAAATATTTATTATAATAAACTTAACCTAACATATGTAAACCATGACTTTTTAACTTCTTCTAAAAAATATATATAAGTATGTCCATTTCAATAAAAATAAATAAGCTATGGTTAGGTACTCCCAAAACATGCCACTAACAAGTCTTTGGCCAATTTCCATCCTAGTAATCACTCATTAAAAATGCATGATATGAATCATTCTCTTTTGCTTATATAATTATGACAAACAAAAAGTGAGTTTATTATTACGTCATAACTATAAACTACCGTTTAAACAACTACAATTAAAAATCACAAATAAATGAAGGATAAAAAAAAATTATTTTAATAATAACTTGACACAATAAACCTTAAACACATATAATTGATAAAATATACTGACTTTATTTTTTCTGTTGGTAAAGATAGGAAAAATTATAAAAATGATCACAATAAAAATTAAATATAAGTCTTCATGTTTCTAACTACCACAATAAAAAATGAAAAATGTGATTTCATTTTTCCCACTTTAACTAGTGATATTATTTTAAAGAAGGTGAATAATTTTTAAAACTAGAGAAGAAATAGTATTATTGAAGTTCAAAGATTGTAAGCGATATTTTCCCTTTACAAAACTATTGATATATTTGCCTAAAACAAAAAAAAAAAACAAAAAAAAAACTAGCAACCTCGTGATTAACAACATTAAATGTTAAATTTGTTTTTGTTTTTTAAATTAAACCTAATTGTCACTTTCCAGGTCACTTTTCATAATGTGATTGCAATCAAATTTTCTTTATTGCGTAATATATTTGTAAAATTGATAATTTCAAAAATTTTCATGAAATTTTAAGATTTCAAATTAGAAAACTGTATTATACAATCATAAAGTACTATTCGACTACAAAACAGTAACGAGAGGTAGAAGTCATCTTTTGCAGTTCTCAAAAAGTCGGTTGCCGAATCAACTCACAAACATAACAATAAAAGCTATTTAGAGTATTCAAGGTTGGAAACTAAAGAATTTACATAAATTTGTAAAACTTTGATAGATGAGTCGTAAACTAAACTCGCAAGAAAATTTCTATTATAGGAAATAATGATAAAAAAAAAGTATATGCATAACATTCTAGTCTTAATAACAATTCCGTATTTCGATTTCACAATAAAGCAAAATAACAAGCAAGAATGAAATTTAAATCTTTCAATACACTGGTATAGAGTAAGATTAAACTAAATAAACGATCAAATTATAAATGAATCCATAAAAACATGTTATTAAAGTGAAAATATTTTGTAAAAAAAAGTTTATTTCTTTAAATATGAAGCATAATAAAAAAAACACACTATTAAGCTCAATGGGGTGAGAGGCAAAAATTACATTCAGTTTCAAATAGTCAATTGAAACAAGAGTGCTCAACTAGTTCTAAAAGTTCAGAAGAGAAAAAATTGATTACAACTATTAACATTAAAAATATTTCCATTTCATGTTTTAAAAGTCAAATAAAACATTAAATAGTTTAGATTGAATTCAAATCCTTAATAAGAGAAATGATAGTGATGATTACCAAAAACATGGACAGAATCAACGAAAACTATCAAGTAGGAACAGAGGACAAAAATAAAGCAAACCATAAATCCATAAACTAATAAATCCAACAAGCTGTGCTAAAACTACTGCAATCCAGAAACGAAATATAAAAAGAATGTGAAAGCGAAGTACCAAGGACTTCCTTAGTACGGACTAAAACAGCAAATAAAGTGAGGGAAGCATACGAAATAGAAAAAACTAGAGTGCAGTTTCAGATTCCTGTCAACGGAATCTAAGAGACAAGATTGTCATTGAGAGAGAGTGAAGCTAGTTGATCAGCTGGACTGCTGGCTTGCTGCTGAGCAACATTCCTCAAAACATCCATGGCTTCAGCTACTTTTGCCTTCAGAGCATCTGGTGACTCAATTAGATGCAATACCTCAGGCTGGTCCATCTCCAAAAGCATGCCTGTAACCTTTGCTGCTGCATCATGTTCCAGCTGATCCACAAGCGGGTATAACGCTTCGCCAAGCATCTACCAAACCATTCACGATAAAGAATCAGTATAACTGTTTTCTAACAGATCACATGAATCAGTGAGTACTCAACCCAAATGTGCTAAAATCAAGACTCACAGTCCTCTGCTGTTCAGGTGGGGCATTAGCGAGAGCTGTAGCCAAAGCTTGAATGGGCATTGGCTGTCCCACAGTATCACGCATTGGCATACCACCCATGTCATATGGGACAGACAGCATTCCACCAGCAGCTACTGGAAGAGGGACATCTTGCATGTTGCGGCCAGGTGGGTAACGGTAGACACGTCCCCTTGGAAGCATCTGAGAAACAATTACTATAAGTATCACACCAACAAGCATACATACTAGTTAGATATGAGACAAGAAATAAAACACTGTGCAAGAGCACACCTGCTGCTGCATCATAGGCACTGGCTGCTGGGGTTGTTGTACAGGACCCGCTCCTCGGCGTCCCCCTGGGCGCTGCCCTTGTTGGCCCTGCTGAACCATAGGAACAAAGAAGCTTGGAATGGGAGCACCACCAGGTCTCATTCCAGGAACTAGTTGCTGCTGGTAACCAAATCCAGCCTGCATTTATTAATAGATAGTTACAGTCCCGATGTGAATTAATTGAACTTATAAGCTTCACATAATGGCATGGAGGACATATAAATCACTTGATCTTTGCTGAGGTGTTATATTAACAAAAAAAAATAGGGGACAAGTTAAAGAGGTGAATAACTGAAAAGCTTAAGTAAAAAATGTTTCTTGACATAGTTTTCAAGATTTATAAAACATTTTCTAATGCAATGTATAACCAAAAATAGAAGCTGAAGATGCAAACAACTGGGTGGTATTTACTTGTGGAGGCATCATAGCAGGGGGTCCTTGCCCATACAAAAACTGTTGGCCAAGACCAGGAGCACCAGGTGGGTAGAGAGGCATGCGGGGTGCAACAGAAGGTGTAATTGCAACAGGCCTCATTTGAGAAAATTGTGCCTGCATGAAATCAGCAATTATGGTGAATATGGAAGGTTAAAATCCCTTTTCTTTTACATTTTCAATTGCCCAACCTACAATATACACCCAATTATCACACAACAGCAAACATAAAAGACAACAGTTTAATATGTGGAAATAAAATGCAATCAATCAATCATTATAATCATCCCACTAAGTGGGGGCTAGCGACATAAATCAAATGGGGTCAATCAGCAGTCACCACTAGGCTCTATCAAAAACTCGCTAAAACCATTTATTAATTATATTTTATTTTCCCTTACAAATTGCTTCATTCCCCATTCTACCCTCTTAGTCCAGCTATCATTCACTTGAGTAAATTCTCATTGGAGACCCTCTAGATCTTTTACATTTTATGGAGTACCCCACTTTCACACAACTAATTGGATTCAACAAACAATTAAATTTTCATATTAAGGATGTAGTTCTGAGTATCTGTCCTTGTATATATCATATAAACAATCGGTAGTTAGTCAAAAGAAGAAATCTAAATTGAACAGTACCTCAACCAATGCCTATTAATTCCAATGGACAACAAATGCTTCATTAGAAGAATCATTAAGGTAATCCAAAATCTAAAAGAGAATAATCAAATTCTTTCAACAACCAAAAAGTAAATCCTTATCAATATCTTACTGGTTTGTAGAGGTGGAGGAACTATATAGGACAAATTAGGGATTCTAGCTTGTACGATATCTAATGAAACTGGAACAAAATATAATAAATATTAAAATCAGAATGCAGCACCTGAAAACTGGGGTGCTGATAGTTAGGTTATATATTCGTAAGTGGTTATTATAACTTCCATAACCAATTTCAATAACCAGTTATATAACCTGTTATACAACTAATTTTATAATATTGCACTTGTATACTATGTGTTGCTTGTAAAACCTGTAATTTTATGGTTTTCAAAAGCTGGTGAAGCCTATTAAACTTGTTTCATTCATAATATTGTCATTCATATTGCCTAATTAACACAATATTTAATCTCTCTATGCACAAATAAAATTTTCAAAGAAAAAGTGAGCCATGTCCATTAGGAGTTCATAAGTTTAAAAAACTCTACTAAGTATGTCAAACCCCTTACAGTGGCAACATATCTAGTAAGAATGAAATAAATTTGGTAGGGTTATTTTTCTTGTTCCCATGACAGATTAATTATTAACAAAAATAATTAAGAAATTTTCATTTTCCAATGAATTCAAAGTACATTTTGATCAAAGCAAATAACTAATGAACTATGTAAAGAAACACAATAACAAAAAAGTCAAAGTTACACGTGAGAAAAAATAAAAACAAAAGAAGAAACCTTCAAATATAAAACCAGTTATAATTTTCAAATGACCGGTTATATTTCCAAAATAATTTATATAACTGGTTATACCTTAAATTTGTTATATAACTGAATATAAATAAAACTGGTTTCATAAATTTAAAAATTTAAAAAGTAATTTTATGTTTTATACTTTATATTTAATACAATTTTTATACTTCAGAAATCCTCTTATAGGGACAGAGTTGTAAAAAAAATGGGTACAACAAATGGGATAATTCTTTTAATTGATAGTTTATTTAAGTTAAAATAGTTATATTGCACAAGAACATTTTTAAAAAATATTCTTCAACAAGAGCGTTTTCAAAATCTATTCCTCAACATGAGCATTTTTAGCTATTTTCTTCAACAAGAACACTTTTGATTATTTTCTTTTAATCTCTAATAATGTTTTTTATCTATCATTCTTATTTCCAAATCAAATTTTAATATTTTAAAATAAATTATCAATAATTCAAACTAATTCTGTAATAAAATAAAAATATTAAGTATTTTCAAATAAGACATGATTTATATATTGAAAATATATATTTATTATAAAATTCAATTGCGTTAAATGACAATTTATCATGAGCATTGATTTTAACAGTTAATTTCTTTTCTAATTTTAAAATTGGTTTTGGTTAAATAGCCATTTTTAAAAAATTAAAATCAGCAATAACAAACCAAAACCAGTTATAAAAAAATGGTTATGCTTAATTTTTATATCCTCTTTTAAATAACCGGTTATTATGAAACATTTTAATTATGATTATGGTTAATTTATTTATAACTGGTTATTTTGATCATCCATACTTGACACCATCAAATAAACCAAAACACCATCAACTAAACCAATCATACCATACAGCATATTGTAATTCAGACTATGCTTCAAAGAAATAACATTTAAAAATTTTAACACATAACTTTAACTAATCTAAACACATAGGAGAAATTTTATGACCATATTAAGTATATTTAAACTAAAAGAGGAATGCTGGCACAAAAGCATACCGAATAACTACCATACATGGGGAAAATGCAGGTATTTCTGCACTAAAAACATATCACTATACCTATAATGTTAAAAAGCAACAGCTGAGCCACTGTTACAACAGGATTACCTGTAACCTTGCTCTTCTCTCTTCTTTTCTCTGTGCCAGGGCAACGTACAGAGGTTTTCCAGAAATCATTTTACCATTCATCTCCCCAAGCTACGAGTAGCAACAGATTTGTATATCAAGATGTTGATTGCTTAGAAAAAAAATAATATATTAGTTGCATATAAATATTTACTTACAGCTCGAGATGCTTCCTCAGGAGTTGAAAATGCAACAAATCCTGAACCTCTACTAATTCCATTCGGGTCTCGCATGACCTGCAGAATACATGGAAGAAATATGCATTGCTCAAATATGTTAACAATAAAAAGAACTTGGAACAACATATACCAGCTAAAAAATCACATTCACACACCTTGCATGAAGTTATTGTTCCAAACTCGAAGAACATTTCTTTAAGTTTTTCATCACTGATGGTATCATCCAAGTTCTTCAGATACAAGTTCACACCTTGATATTTGTCAGCAGATTCCTTTATAGTCTGCTCAAATCGTCCTTTCAATTCAAGTTCTCGCTCAGATTTTTTCTGGGCTTTTCCAACATACCACTCCTTGTCGTCAAATTTCTTCCCATTAAGTTCCTCAACAGCTTTTGCAGCATCGTCAGGGTTTTCAAAATTGACAAAGCCAAAACACTTTGATTTACCTTCTCCATCTCTCATTACTACAGCACTAGTAATGGTTCCATATTCTCCGAAAATTTTCCTCAACTCTTCATCCATGGTTGAATCTGATAGGTTTTTCACATAGACATTATTGAATTTTGTCTTACTGAGAGCATTCTCTCTATCTTGCTTTCGCAGGAAATGACCTACATAAACCTGCTTATCATTGATCAGCATGCCATTCAACTTGTCAATAGCATTCTGTGCAGACTCTTCGTTGTCAAATTGAACAAAACCATAGCCTTTAGACAGGCCAGAACCATCAGTTGCTATTTTGCAAGAAAGAATGTGTCCAAAAGAAGAAAAAGTATCATGTAAGGCCTTGTGGTCAATAGCCTTATCCAAATTCTGCACCAAAATTATCATTAAAAAGATGAGATGCAACATGTTAATATATTGACACATAGCAACAAATTATTCACCCAGGACTACTAAAAAAAGAAAACTATGCAAATAAAAAAAAAATCAGTTTAAGAAAAAAGAATTCAAAAATTCATTTACAAAACAATGAAAACTTTGCCTGCATACTTCAAGATATTTTCACAAACCAATCACACTTCAGCTCTCCATACTCAAAAAAAAAACCCCTCTTACTCATAGAATCAACTTTGATTTAAGCTAAATTAAAATACAGGTTTCTTTACTGTTAACCTCATCCTTAAATCTGACGTTTAAAAAGACTAATCTAAATTCTGAACCACAAATATCATAAAAGAATGAGATACAGCACGCCAGTAAAAAACACAGACAATAAAAAAAACTTACAAATTTCATTTTCCATTTTCTAATACCGCACGCCACTAATTTCATTTTCCATTTTCTAATACCGCATGCATACTTACAAATATTTTCTCAAACCAAACTCGCCTTGGTCATAGAATTAGCTTCCATTTAAGATAATTAAAAAGTAAAATACAGATTTCTTCGCTGTTAACCTCAACCTTACATCTGACATTTAATCAATTAAAAGCAAAATACTATTAAAAATAAAACGGTTACTACGCTGGAAATACAAAACTCTGATAATTTCTCTCTCCCAATAAATACATTCTAATTTAAGTCAGTTATACGAACCAAAACATCCAAAATACCCCTAATTTATAAGAAAACCACTCTTTCTAACTTGATATTAATCTCGTAATCAATAACTAGCACACGAACATAAACAAATTCAAAGGCTAATTATTCACACAGAAATCATTTTGTAGCAAACGCACCTTGATAAAAATATTCGCAGTACCACTCTTCCGAATACTAGGATCCCGATGAGAATACATGATCCTAATATGTTTGTTGTTCAGTGGAGTAAAATTCAGCACATCCAATGCCCTCGCCGCTGAAAAATTCACACAAACCATTTTCACCGTATGCAAAACACACAAAAAAATGAAAAATGAAAAAAAAAAAGTATAAAAACGCACCATCCTGAGGGTTACTGTAATTAACATAGCCGTAACCGAGTGAACGACGCGTCGTCAAGTCCCTGCAGACGCGCACCGAAACGACTTGGCCGACCTGGTTGAACAGATCGTAGAGCTGCGAGTCGTTGACATTGAAGTCGAGATCGCCGACGTACAACGACGTCGTAACAAACTGGTTCGCGTTCGGCGCGGCGGGAGCCACGCCGTTGGGAGGAGTCGAAACGGGACTCTGATGCTGCACCTGAATCTGCGCCATCGCCGCCTCAGAAATAGATAGTGATAGATACACGAAAAAAACTCTGATAAACTAAACCCTAATCGCCTTGGGAAATATTTTTTGGAATAGTTCTTTTTTTTCTGATTTTGCTTTGCTTTGCTTCTTCCGTGTAAATAGAGTAGGGATAGTAGCTCCGCCGGAGATCCGAGCGGAAGCGGTGGTGGCGGCGGCGAACAAACTGAAAATATATTTTTGGTTTTTTGTTTTTTTCAGTTTTGGGGGAGGGCAGAAGGGGCTGCACCGCGCGGCACGCACGTAAGGGGGTGGCTTATATAGGTGCGAGTGGGAAACCCTAGTTTAATGCGTAGGTCAAATGGGTGACATGGGCTCGCACGTGCGAGAGGGCCCAGTCAGAGACGGGAAGTTACGACGGAGCATTTCCCGCGTAACAATAGGGCCATGTGGGTGGACCTGGCCTGCTTTCGGTTTCTTGTCGTTTTAGGTTGGATTTGGGAGCAGTGATCACGCGCTAGGTCAAATAGATGACATGGGCTCTCACGTGTGAGAGGGCCCAGTTAGAGAAGGTGGGGGTACGAGTTTCCCGTGATTCTATAAGGCCATGTGAGTGGGCCTGGCCTGCTTTTTCGTTCTCGTAATTTTTGTTTTTGTTTCTGCCAAATGTTGGATATCGATATTACCAATGGGCCAGACAGACGTTGGTGTTTTTTGAGAATATATATCCCACTTGCAACATGAACAAAAATAATTATTTTTTCAAAGTAGTAAAAAAATTATAAAAAAAAAAAAGAAAAATTAAATTATACTTTTAATTTCTCTATAATATTCAAATTCTGTAATCTTGGTCTCAAAATTTTAAATTTCACAATTTTAGTTCAATTGTTAAATGTTTTTTTTTATATTGCTAAAATTGAAATATTAACCACAATTTAATATTAAATAAATGACATGATAATTAATATTCATTCTTATATATTAAATATGAATGATTATTTTGTACGAAAATTTGTATTTAAATGTTTTTCTTAAATGAGGGAATTTTTAGGAGTTTTTTTTAACTTTTTGTCTAATTCATTTTTTATTTATTATATTTATTTATAAAATAAAATTTAATATTTTAAAGTAAATTATTCATATTCAAAAATAATAGTGCTAAGATATAAGATATTCATCATAAATTTAAAATATAATTTATATGTTTAAAAATATTTATTTATACAAATTTTAAATATAATTATATATTCAAATATGATATTTATATATATATATATACATATATATATAATTTATTGATAGTATAAAAT